AGAAAGCCTTGTGTTGGTGTCTCAGACAAATGAACACTATGCTTCAGAGACATAGGTTCTCTGAGATGACAAATACGTAAAAAGGTTTGTATCAGCTGGGCATGGTAGTACACACCCATAATCCCAGCATTTTGGAAGACTGAGGCAGAAGGATCACAATTTTAAGCACAGCCTGGGCAACCTAGCTGGGAACTAGCTTAGGGAAAAGACCCTGAACTCACTCCTGTTTGGTTTTTACCTTCACTAGTAGAGTTTTCACACCTCTCTACCTCCTGAATGTTGTTCTCCATAAACAATATCAGTGATGCTGTTAAATTTTATGCTTCATATTCCAGATGTTGCAGAAATAATGAATGGGGCTTTTTATGTATCAGTAACTTCTCACTGAGTTAGTAGCTAGATAAACAAAAGTTGAGAACTTCGTTCCGAGAATCTAATTGGTGTGTAGGTTTTTGGTCAGGTCAGTCCTATGCCTTGTGTGAAAAGGACACTGGGGAAGGGCGACCAAGACAAAATAATGATGAGCACACAGATTGTTGTTTGGTTGCTGGTACTGCCAGCTAATTCCGAAAAAGCAGCAGTATCATTACGCAGTGTGGTTGTACTAGAATAAGCTCTTTGTGATCTATACATCCTTTTTAGACTGGGTTGGCAAGGAATCTTGTTATAGATTGCAGACTGAGTTGGAATAGCCTCTAATGAAAACAGATTCCAAATATTTCTAATTGTGAAGATTTCAGCAACTTAAATTTTTAGAAATAAAAGAGACGATGGTGTCTGGATTTAACGTTTGATTACAGTGTTTACCAGCAGTAACTGATTTACAGTACATCGCTTCACTGATACTACTTTATGTTTTATACATACAGGACACTGGGTGGTTTGTTTTTAGACCTATGTTAGTCACCTTTCTGTTGCTGGGACGCCACACCTGACACTAGTAATTTAAAGGAAGGAGGATTTATGTGGGCTTGTGGTTTCAGTCCATAGTCTGCTGGCTCGGAGGCAGAAACTTCAAGGAAGACGAATTTGGCTGAGGAGCAGTGTTCACCCACTGGCAGCCAGGAAGCAGAGTGAAGGGGAAGAGACCAAGAAAAGATACACCTTGGAAAGCACAGTCCCAGTGCCTACTTCCCCCAACCTGGCCCTGCCTCGTAACATCCTGTTCAGCTATGAACTCATCACTGGGTTAATCCACTGATGACATTAGTGTTCTGATGACTCAGTCACCTTTGTAGTCCCCACCTCTGAATATTGCAGCACTGGGGATCAAGCCCTCAACATGAATGTTGGGGTCATGCTTCATATCTAAACCATAACAGGATCCAGTAGCAGTTTGAGTTTTGAAATGGTCAAAAGTATGAATAAAAAATATTAAGATCATCAGTTTATTGTAAAGTCATCACTAAATTTTTTTTCTTCATATTTTGGCATGCTAGAGATTAGGAGTATTGTTCAACTTATTTTTATGGTGTGACTTACTGTATTTAAATGGAAAGCGGATATAACCCCTAAACCAGATCAGTAAAAAGGAGTGTGAGATAGTAGCTATTCACAGATAACAATTCTTATTCTAACTGTACACCATAACATTTATCATATCTATTTTATACAAGTACCTCCATACGTGTCAATCCTGTTAACATTTCCATCCCTAGTAACAAGACAGTAACTGTTTGGGAGATGTTAGTCATTGAGAGCAAAAATCATAAATGAATGTAAAATTTGTAGGTGAAAGTCTTGTGACTATTTACTCAGTCTTGAAATCTTCCGCACAAGGTGCTTATGAATTACAGAGGGAAAACTGCAGTGTTACAGTGGGAAATGTAACAGTCATACCCCTAACCAAGTGAGCAGAAGTTACTTGAGCAGTAATGCGATAGGGCTATCAACTGCCTTCTCGCAGGGTTATGCCTGCTAGAATGCTAGCCTGAATTTAGTCATTGGGAAGCCTTAAGCAAACCCAGATTGAGCGATAATGTACAAAACAAGTGGCCAGTACTCTTCAAATGTCCACGAGAGATAAACTGTACTGGTTTGCAGGGAGGCATGACAGGTATAGGCAGTGTGCAGTCTTGGACCAGAAAATAGGATGTGGATTAGGGACAGCTGATAAAGTTTAGATAAATCTGCCTGAAAATTACTTAATAAACTGTGTGTTGATGGTTAATTTGCAGATTTTGGCCATTGTAACTATGGTTATGGAAAAATGTTTGGGGAAGCTTGATGAAGAGTGTGTAGGAATGGTTTGTTTGCACCATTTTGGGAATTTTTTTTTTAATTTGAAAGCATTTCCAAATAAAGTAAACCAACAAAACAAGAAAAGTAATTCAGCTCAGCTGAGGAATGAAGACTGTAAGACACCTATTTTATAACATCTCTTCTGATTGGTCAGGAGCTGGATTTCTTTGCTTCCTGAGCATCCACAATGATGTGGATAGGCTGAGGTTTCTCAATAAGGAATCTTGAGATCAGTGGTACATGGCTGTATTGAATTGCAAATACACTTTGAAAAGGTGTACTTAATTAATTAACTTATTTATTTGTGTGCCGAGCTATAATTACATCTTTGAGTGTCCCATGGCAATACAGGTTATTTGAGCTTTGCTGTGCTAGTTACCAGAATCCCTACTTGGAAACTTAGCTCTGTAATTAATTTCCTGGTTTGTTTCTGTTTCTATTACACTGTTTTGAATTCCGGTTAGTCCTATAGATTCTTCTGGAATGTGTCATGTATTATTGAATTTCACATTTGTGTATTGTTGGTTAGGAAAAGCTTATTACATAAAATACATAAACTTGAAATATCACAAATAACTTCTTTTTTAAAAGAAAAGGCAATCTTTAGTTTCATACATAGTACATAATTAATAGAAATGTACACTGGCTAACATACTTGTGTTGGATACATGTGTTTTTATTGGGTAATTAGAATGGAGGAAATTAATACATTGAGAAATGTTAGTAGAGACAGTTGTTAATATGTGACTCATGGGTTCTTAAGTCCGTATTGTTCTGACAGCGTGGGAGGGGAAAGGACCAGAGACCTGAGAGTCAAAAGACTTTGTTTTGCATCTCAGATTCATGACTGGTTATTAGCTTTCTGAGATGTAGGTTTCTCATCTGCAAAACAAATCACAATAGCATCTTGCAGAATTACTGTGAGGCTTAAATGAGGTAGTGTGCAGTGCACTTGGCCTGCTTTGGGATTGCAGCTACAGCTGGGCTTTTAACACTGCGGAGAGTCTGTGTTGCATCCAAAGATGAATAAAAAGTTGGTAGCATATGCTAGTAGATCTCATGACTGTTTTGGTCAGGAAATTTTCCACATCTCTTATTACAGAGAAATTATTTTCTTTTATGTGTTAGACACATTGGGTGTTAATCTTAAATCCATCATGCATATGTCACTTGTTTGCTAGACATTCCATGTTTTCATGTTCTTACCTGAAATCACTTGGTACAAATAGATGTTAAATGTCTTTTTTTTTTTTTTTTTTTTTTTTTGAGACAGGGTCTCACTGTGCAGTTCAGGCTGTCCTTGAGCTCACTTTGTAGCCCAGGCTGGTCTCCAACTCGATTCTCCTGCCTCAGTCTCCCAAGTGCTGGGATTACAGGTGTGCGCCACCATGCCTGGCTTGTGATGTTTCTTGTGAGAGAAAATTCTGTGAGATGAAGGCACAAGATGTACAGAAAACAGTTGCATGTACAGTTTGCTTTAAAGTTTCAGGTTGTAGTTGGGGAGTTTTGATTCTCTGGGAAGGATCAGTTATTGTTTCTATTTTATGCCAATATCAAAAATACTTTATTATTGTCTGATTTTGATACTATTCTATGATTGTGGAAGTGGGCATTGTTGTTTTTAAGAATTAAACCCTGGGCTATTTAAGGTGGAAGGGACATTTCTGTAACTTCCAAGTGGTCAGAAAACAAAATATGTGTATGTGTACAGTTTCTGTGGAGGTGGAGAAGGAAAGGACATTAAAATACATGTGGCAAAGTTAACTGTAGGTGAAGATCTATGAGAACTAGTGAATTTGGGTGAAGGGTCTCCAAGAGTTCTTTGTACTTTTCTCATAATTTTTTTAAGTATTTTATATTTTTATTGGTACATGTGCAGTACATAATGATTACATTTATTGTATTGGTGTATGTACCTAACACATATCAATTTTTCCTCTTCTCTTCTACTCCTCCTTATTTTATTGCCAGCATCAGATTCATTTATAAGTCCTTAAAGTTAATTATCATACATACAGATTAACAGCCAGATGCAACTTTTTTCTGAGTTTGAGATAGTTATACTGGATACTCACGCTAAGTTTGCACCTGTACCCTGAGGAGATACAAGCTAGTGGTAGTTTCAGAGGGAAGGTCGGGGGAGGTTAGTAGTGCCTGGTAGGTACAGAGATATAAGTGATGAGTAATTCGGTAAACTGGCAGGGGATTGGTTGTCTCGCTAACCTTTTTTGTAACCTAGAGCACGATTCTTTTTTTTTTTATAGTGGGGATCAAACTCATGACATCACGCTTGGCAGGCAGGCACTTTAAGCCTCTGAGCTAAAGCCCCAGCCCCTCACAATTCATTTTTTATAGAAGTGTCTGTATAAATAAGCAAGTAGGCTGACAAGCAGTGAGAACAACTTGAAGTGACATCAGGTGTATGAAGTAAAGATTTTTAAAATCTTTAAAATATTTACAAGCCATATATAAGAATAAACAAAAGCACAAAAGGCAGATAGATAGGGGTTTTGAAATTACCTTGTATTCAAAGAATCTTTCTCCTATGCGAGAGACACGAGTTAGATTTTTATAATGAGCATCTTATCCTAAAAGTTAATTTACCTTTCAGTTACTCTTTGGTTTCACAGGTAATATTTTTTCTTTACAATGTAACATCATGTTTATTATCTTTGTACCTTTCAAAAGGAGTTTTCTAAACTATTTTTCAAACTTTGTTTTCTTTCATGTCCATGGCAACATTTCTCTTGGAAACCCAGGGGTCAGCCGAAGGTAAGCGATTTGGTTCATTACTTGGTGCTTGTAAAGCTCTTCTGTTGTGTAAGCCTGAAGTACTGGAAGTTTTTTCCTCAAAACTGAGAACGCTTTCCCTGTTTGTTTATAAAAGCCCTGTAAGCTCTCAGCCTTCTTCCAGACCTGAAGCTGCTGGTTGGCATAGCAGGGGGCCAGAGGTTTATGGAAAGCTGTTTGCACTCTGACCAGTTCTGCCCAGTCTCCTAGCAACTGTAACACAGATTCCCTGTGTGCCATATTTTGGCACAAAACTGGTCATTCCAAAGTGTGGTCCCTCCATGGCTGGCTGACTCATCCCCCTGGTTCCCAAGCAAGGCCCTCAGAAACCTGCGGTGCCACCAACTCCAACTGGAGCCCTATCCTAACGCAACTTCTGGGGTGTGGGAGCAGTTCCCTGTCTGCCAGGGGATGGATGAGTGTACTAAAGTGGGCGCAAGGGCTGTATTTCAGTTGACCATTCTCTGAAGTTACTTGGAACTTACAGGAAATTCAGTTTTATCTACATTTTTGGGGTTTTTGTTTCAGAGGCTGTGGTTAAATTGTAATTCTGTTCTCTGTTATTATTACTAAAATATGGATAGACTTGTTTGAAACTCTGCTTGACTTAAAATATAGTTGAATACGGCACTGATTTCTTTATAAAAATTTCTCTCCTCTTTCCTAAGTAGAAGGTGCTGGGTTATTTTTGGTTTTTTTGTTTTTTTGGTGGTACAGAGGCTGGAGATTGGTGTAAAGAACTATTTCATGAAAACTGTCCGTGCTGCATTAATTCAACTCTGTCTCAGTGTTTAGAGAAAATGTGTGGGCCGGAATGATGGAAGGGTGAACCTACAGTCTCAACACAGTGGTTCCTCTGGGGAGACGTGTACTTGACGACTAGGGAGATTCTGAGTTCACTTAATGCTTCTGTGTTACTTGAGTTTTTTACTGTGAATTTTTAGTCTGTTACTTGAAAAAGTTTTTTTTTTTCCAATTTTCAAGAAAAATGTGTAGAAAGAGAGGGGTTATCTGCTTTATGAAATCTTTGGCTGGAAGATACCTATAATAATTTACACAATTGCTCAAATTTAAAGAGGATCACTTAGGATTATTCAGTACCTGGCTTTGAGCCCCAGCTGTGGCGCCCAGCAGTTCACACCCAGCAGTTGCCACCTGCCTGTGGTTTCAGTTATTAGAGGCGAATTTTGTCAGATTTCAGTAGATATTTTTGGAGAAAGAAACCACGTCCACATAACTTTAATTATTACACTATATCATCATGGTTGTTTTTAATTGTTATTTCTTACTATGCCTACTTTGTAAATTAAACTTTACTTTAGGCTTCTATGTATAGAAAAATACCATAAGGTTCAGTACTACCCATGTTTTTAAATGGTTTTAAGATTCTTGAGGTGGGAGGGGTCAGTGCCTGTTTCAGTTGAATGAGGCCCTCACGTGGTCTCCAGCATTGCTGTGCTTACCTTAATGATAGCTTTTCTATTGGAATTGTAAGAAATCTGATTGTTAAAGAAATTTCCAGCCAAAGACTAGGAAAACCACAATAATATTGAGAGCGGAGTGCCCTGCAGACCTGATCTTTGATAAGTTTACACGCACGGCCTTTGGAAATGAGAGCTAAGCTTCCAAGAAAAGAATCAGGAAACTTTCAGCTTAGCCAGCCTTGGAACAGAATTAAATTATAAAGGAGAAAGTTGAAGGCTAGACCAGGAGATAGTCTGAACATCACATTTCATTTACTCTTACCCTGCTGTAGTGATTCTCACCATGGGTGACAGACCAGAGTGTGCCGGCTAGATGCTTTGATGCACAGTCCTGTGGGCCCTGCTTCCGCTTCCTCCTCCTGCTCCCTTCCCAGCCTGAGCGCTGCTAACAGTGAGCTGTGGGGGAGGTGAGGCCTAGCAGTGCATAGTACTGCTGCTGGATGGTTTTCTTCGGGGCTCTGGGGCTTCTGCCTTGTCTTGGGGCTTGGCAGCCCTGGTCTGCTCACCTTCCTGGCCTCGTCTCCCACCATGGCCCCACCCAGAGACCCCATGCCTCTCCTGGCTGCAGAGTTGTTTATCTTGCCTTCCTCTTGAGTGCTGCCAAGATCCTCTTCTGCCTCTCCAATTGGCCTCCTCAGACTCTCCCAAAATTGCTCCTGTCCTTTGCACCTGTCTTCTGCAGAGTTGTCAGCTTGACTTCTCTGTGATCCCACCCTGACGCCCACCAGTCTCATGGCAACTGCTGTACTGTTTTTGGATTTCTCAATTCTGATCCAGGTTCAAGCAAGCAATCATGCTTTCAAGAATTGTTCTCTTTCCCCCACTTGTTTCCTCTTTGAGCCTTTTCCTGTTTCCCCCTCATCCCTTTTTTTTGTTTTGTTTTGTTTTTTTTCTTTTTTTATCGGTACCGGGGATCGAACTCATGACCGCCTGCTTGCAAGGCAGGCGCTTATGCCGCTGAGCTAAATCCCTAGCCCCCCAACTCCTTGTCTTAAAAGAAAAATTTTTTAGACTTCTGATCAAGATAGCCTGTGAGTTCACAGAGAAACATTGTCCCTGCCTATTCCAAGCATGTAACGGGAACAAATAAAATACTTTAAATTTTATGAATCATCTTTGATCTTAAATTTTATGAATCAGTTTGTACACTTTTAGCAGCAGTGGGGAGAGCTGAAGTAGCATAGTTGCTTGGCCTTGGTATCAGATATGGGTGCCCAAGGTGATTGAAGTTTGGCTGTTGCTGATCAAAAGGCTCTAACTAAAGGACGGGAGCCAAATTCACATGAAAACTGATTTGGGGAAGGTTCCTCTGTGACTTGTTGAAGGCTTAAAAAAGCTGAAAACATATTGGCCACCATTGTTTGTGTTAATAGGAAGGAATAGAGGTCCTGGGCCTTGGGAAGACAAACGTTTGGGCTTATGTAATGGAAGTTTTGATGTGAACTGGCCTTGTAAAGATGGCCATCGGAAGAGAAAAGGCACGCATCATGTAAGCTGTGCCACACACTCCTGGTTAGGGTGCCCTTGAGCCACCTTGTAAAGGCTCTAGAGGGGGACCAGTCAGGAGGCACAGCAGCAACTCCAGAGCTGGCAGTACTTGGTAAAAGGTGAACAGGTGAATTTTAAAGCAATTACCCTTAAAAATCCTTAAAAAGATTAAATTATAAACTGTGAACAAGCATATAGCTGATAGGATTCTCCAAAAATTAAAGGTATCATCGGTGAAGCAAAACTTTTAAAAGGTTGCAAAGAATTGTGTGCCTATTTTAGAAAGTGGCAGTAAGGCAGATCAAAATGCAAATCATCTTTTTTTTCCCTAAGTAGCATTTTTTTTTTTTTTGTCTTTTTGAGACAGGGTCTCACTATGCATTTCAGGCTGGCCTTGAGCTCACTTTGTAGCCCAGGCTGGTCTCGAACTTACAACGATCCTCTTGCCTCAACCTCCCAAGTGCTGGGATTACAGGCATGAACCATCACGCTTGGCTTTAAGTAGCATTTTTAATATAGGTTCTTACACTTTTTAGTCAGATTATCTTTTATAGAGATTTCAGTATAAATACAGTCATATTTCAGATGTATATAAGTTTGTCTTTAACATCATTTTCTTGTCACTAGGTCTTCTAGACTCTTAAATCCTATACAGTATTGCATATGGTGTTATAATTTATTTTAAAAATCTGCTATTTTATAACTATTTTCTATATGCTGTTATAAGCCTCTTCAAAAATTTTTTTTGGGTACTGAGAATTGAACTTAGGACGTCACACTTGCCAGATAGGTGCTATGCCACCGAGCCATATACCTGGCCCAGCCTCTTTAAATTTTATTGTACAATTATTTTTTATTTTCATTGATTCTAAGGGTAAAAATACAGAAAATTTAGAAGAGCATAGAACTGCTGATATCACTATGTAAAATAAACCTTGTGTTTGTAACTGTGTGTAATAGCCATTATATTACAAATTTGTTTTATAAACTTCCTTTTTCCACTTAACATTACAGTTGTCTGTGTAAAATAGAAGTCTGTATCACTCATAGGGTACTTAACTAGACCTGTCGTTTGATACTAAGTTGCTTTAACTACACTCTTAGGAGCAGTTCTGTCAGTGTTATGCACACTTGTGTTCACTTTTCAACAGGTGTTTGCTTATGATCACTGTTTCTGGTCCATGGATGAATCTGTCCGAGACAAGTATGCAGGTAACAGAGCACAGGGTCCTTTCACTGGTACAGAAAAGATGGTGCAGTGTAGCCTCCAAACGCTATTAGGGTGTCATTGCATGTAACTTAGGAAGCCTACATAGAGATCTTGGTATGAGGTGATAAAATGGAGTGCCGACGATGGTGCCCAGTGGAGCTGGTTTCACGCACATGGCCTCAGGTCTCACGTGGACCAGGAGTAGGCCCTTAGGTTCCCTGGGGTGCTAGCAACGTGGTGGCCATTGGGGGCGGGGGCAGGCTTCTGGTGGAGGGAAAGGAGTGCAGTGGCCAGGAGTAAAGGAATCCTAGATGGCCTGACCTTGCTCCTCAGCACACCTTTGAAGTTCAGGAAACTGCTGCACCTGGCAGAGCCCCTGTTTTCTCTTGCTAATGGAGTGGGTTGGACCAGCTTCCCTCCAGATGTTGTCTGTGCTCTGGAAGACAGTTTGGTCTGGACTATAACCACCTCAAGCCCCATCTCCCCGCAGAGTCAGGACTACTGTGACAGCCTTTTCTTTTTTTCTTACTGCTCATGGCACCTATTTCTAGGCACTTCCTTTTATCTTCTCCTTTCCTTCCCTTCTTCTGCCTTTTTTTTTCTTTTTTCTCCTTTTCTTCTCCTCTCCTCTTCTTTTTCTTCTTCTTCTGTTTTTGTTGATGAGGCCAGGCTTCACTGTCTGTCCTAGGCTGGGTTTCAACTCCTGGCCTCAAGTGATTCTGCCCACCTCAGCCTCCCAAGTAGCTAGAACTACAGGCATGCACCACTATGCTTGGCCTCCCTTTTGGATATTGACCATCATATTTTATTGACCTCTATTATGAGAAAGTTAATAATATACCGGTTTCAAAAGTACATTTGGTTGGGGCTGGGGATTTAGTTCAGTGGTGTAAGCGCTTGCCTGGCAAATGCCAGGTCATGAGTTTGATTCCTAGTACCAAAAAACCCCCAAAATAAATAAAAGTACATTTGGTCTTGCTGACTCATTGATGGCTTTAAGGATCACTCCAAGTTCAAAAGGGCAAATTACCTGGTAAATTAATAGAAAATGAGACAAAGTGGAATGCCTTACTTGAAGATAACAGCATCTAGAGGTTCCCTGTTCTGTGTGAGACTCAGTGAGGTAGATGGTTTGTCAGTTTCCTGTTTTGATTATCAGCAAATCTCATTTGGCCTGTGGTAGGGAACTTGACTCTGCCACCTATGTCCATGATTGAAAGCTGAGAGAAATGGGTCTTACTCCTTGTCCTAACTCCTCTGAATTGTAGATTTTGTATCTGGAAATTATCATCTAGGAAAAGGGGAGAGAATATTGTTGTATATGACTTTTTTTAAACTCATCAATCCATTAGATAAAAGCATTGAATGAGTGGTATATAGTTAAATTCAGGTACACTTAGGTCTCATATATATGTTTCTGATATTTATAATCATTGACTATATAATAAGCAGCTCCTAGCTCTCTGCATTTTGCGAGCTATGCATTATAAGGGACATGTGGGATTTTCTCTTCATGTCTAAATAAAAATAATCTGAAGAACACATAAGTATTTTGTCATTTAAAAATGTGTTTGGAGATAAATAAGCTGGTTATACATTCTGAGATTTTTCTTCCTTGAATTGTTCACATGTGGTCTTTTTGTTTTTTGTCTTTTTTCGTTTTGAATTAAAACATCCTTTTTTCCCTCAGGTCAAGATGATGTTTTCAAGTGCCTTGGTGAGAATATCCTTCAGAATGCTTTTGATGGCTACAATGCATGTATCTTTGCTTACGGACAGACAGGTAATGTTAAATACTGTGGATGTACAAAATCAAATACCTTTCAATGAAAGAGAAAATAGAACCACATTTACTGAGTAACCTATTGCTGGTTCATTTGTTATCTTCCTTTTCAAGAATTACTACAGATGATGAAAGTAGGCTATAAACGGTTTTTTAAAGTAAGTGTAATAAAATCAGGATTAAGGTCCTCTTTCTTTACTGATTTTCTCACAAGGCACTGATTGTGTGTTGTATTTTTTTTACTATATTACAGAGCTATGACTGTTGAATGTATTGGTAACTATGCCTGTATGTCATAGTCTCTAAGGAGCCTCACAGAAGAAATGCCAAAAAGAATACACTTAGTAGTAGCTTATTGCTTGTGATTGATAAGGAACCTTTTGGCTGCTGCAGTTATGTGATTTAAAGAAAGAAAATCTAAATTGAACTAGTTACTTTTATAAGAGTGTATCATATAGCTGTTCAACTCTAAACCACTCTTGACCACAATGCTTATGATGGTTTCAAGAAGCATTATACATAGTGATTAAGAGAACAGAAACCTCAAGCCAGGCCATGCCAGCTCCACTGCTGCCCCTGCAACTTGCCACCTGGAGCTCTCTGCCCTCAGCTTCCTCCTCTTTAAGATGAGGATGATAGGGGGCTGGAGATTTAGCTCAGCGGCGTAAGTGCCTGCCTTGCAAGCAGGCAGTCGTGAGTTCCATCCCTGGTACCGATAAAAAGGAAAAAGAAAAAAAAAAAAAGATGAGGATGATAGGCCTCATCACAGTATGATCATGACGAATTATCGTATGCTCACTTTTCTGCCTGGGATATTGGAAGTGGTACATTAACACTGATATACTGATGAAGTATCAGACAACAAAAGCAGCCATTTGAATGGTTTAAGAGCATATTTGCAAAATCATTGCCACTAAAAAGGAAAAGATTATACTTCAGTGTCAAAAATTACTTGTTTTAGATGATAGGACTATAGTAATTTATTTTTCCCTGTTTTCTTGAATTTTCTTTCATTATATTTCTATTATAATGGGAAAATAATTTATATTACAAAAAGATGATACATGGTACACACACTATTCCAAGATGGTAGTAAATTTATTTGCTGTAGGGCTCATAGGGAGAGCCTATATATTTTGTGCTATGATTAGTGGTTGGGAACAGACATAATATTAATCATATGAATCTTCCCAGTTTATTTTAGTAAATATTTTCAAACCTATTTCAGTTAGTTTAGATTTTTTAAAAAATAAAATGATTAAAGTAGGCTTATTTTTCTTTCTAAAATATGTTTATTTTTGACTTTCACATTTGCAATAGGCAAGCTTTTGTGGTTTTTTTGGTCTTTTTCGTTTTTATTGGTACCAGGGATCGAACTCATGACTGCCTGCTTGCAAGGCAGGCGCTTATGCCGCTGAACTAAATCCCCAGCCCCGCTTCTGTGTTTTTTGCTATTTGGAACATTTCTTACTGTATTTTGGGCTTTTTGTTAAGTGCTAACAATTTAAGCAATGGAAAAAAGGTTATGTAAACTTCTCAAAGTGACAGTAATAACTCTGATTTCCAATTTTTAGGGTCTGGAAAATCTTATACTATGATGGGAACAGCTGACCAACCTGGATTAATCCCAAGACTGTGCAGTGGACTCTTTGAACGAACCCAGAAAGAGGAAAATGAAGAACAGAGTTTTAAAGTAGAAGTGTCCTACATGGAAATTTATAATGAAAAAGTTCGAGACCTTCTTGATCCCAAAGGGTAAAAAGACTGAAGTTTTACTGTTCTAGCTTTCTGGGCTAGCACAGATGTGATTAATTGGCATAAGTGCAGTTTTGGCATTGAATTCAGTAGAGAACCATTTAGTTGTGGTCTGTGTGATTTATTGTTGGTTACATGGAGTAGCCTTCTGCAGCCAGTTCTGGGCTTTTGAACTTACAAGAGAGGCAGGGAAGAGTGAGTGAGCAGGCATGTACTTGTATTGTACTGCCCTTCTGAGATTTGCCCAAAGCCAAAGATAAAAATAGGTACTGAAGAGGAGTCATTTAGCATCAGCATAACTGGTACTAATTTAAACAATTTTTATTTCTTTTTACCAATTAACTTCAGGTGAAATTCAGCAGTTGGGTTGCAGGATGTGAATTGCATGAGAGGCATAATCAGAGATAGGAAACCTGATCTTTAGGATAGTTAATTTTCAAGCTTCCCAGAAAACAATTTTTTTGCCTATGATTTCTTAACATTGACATTGAAGGAGGGGTGGCTCAAAGTATTGACAGAAGTGCTGCTTTGAGCCTGTAGCATAGCTGAACTTAATGAGGACAGCAGGAGGTATCTGAGGCAATCTGTTCATTACAGAGTCCTCAAGTTCAGGTTTTACAGAAGTGCTATAGCAGAGAAAGAAAGAGTCAGAGATGATGACCACAGCCCCCAGCTTCCTCTTTTTTTTTTTTAGGAGAACATGTGAGTGGCTTTTCATTTTAAGACTGTTTGAAAATGTGAACAGCTTAGATACAGTTTCAGGGTGCCCTGGACACTGCCACTCTGCTGTGGCAGTGACTCTTAGTGATGCTCAGTCAAGAAAAAACAAGTGCTGTTCCTCACCACTATCTGCTTTCTTTGACAAAGACAGTGATCTGCAGGACTTCCTTGGAGACTGAGTTGGCACTTTGTGTTTCTGTACAGACTTCATCTGACATACCATGAGAGCGAGAGGAAGAACTCACAGTGTAGACAGAGCAAGTTATAGCACAGTGCAGTTTGTCTTGCTTTTGCCCAGAGTGAAGGAATGATTCTATATGCATACATGCTGGATTTTCCCACTGAGTATGATTTGTCCAGTTAAAAATTAGGTGACAGCCAGTCATGCAAGTGTTAAGAGAATGCCTGTTTGAGGATACCCAGCTGTTTAGTGTGGTTGAGGGTGGTGTGGCCAGAATGAGACAGATCAGGAGGCAGCCAGAGGTGGGAAGTCCTGGACCAGGTGCCTCTCCGCAGTGTTCTGTATGTGCTGTCCTCTGCGTTGACTGTTCTTTCTGCACCTTCAGTCTGTGAGATCGTTACTTCCTCTGAGATCAGCTCAGATACACCCTTCCCAGACTTTTCAGCAGTGTGTCTTCATGCCACTCATTCTTGGGTTTGCATTCCACAGTGCTGCGTGGAATAACTTGAGCTAGTCAGACTTGTTCATAGTCTGTAGTGATTTCCTGTGCTTCCTGTGTGTGGCTTAGGTCTTATCAGCATGGACTTTAGATTCACGTAGCTCTGGTCCTCTCCTTGTTACCCATGGAGCAGGTGCCTTTCACTTTTGTGGCCTGGTTGATCTGGGAAATGATGCCGTCATCCAGTATCCCAGAGGAGAGCAATGATAGATTGGTCTCAGGCCACCTCTTGGCACGCAGTCAGCGCTCTCTGTGTGGTGGCTGCTATTCTGTCTTCTCAAAAGTTTCTCTGGGCTCTGCTCTACATTTTTCTTTTTTCTTTAACTTCCCTTCCCCCTCTCCCCTTCCCCTTTCTCTCTTCCTTTTCCTCTCCTTCTCCCTCTCTCTCTCCTCTCCATTTCTTTTCTTTGTTAGTGTTTCTGAAGTCAAAGTAAATGGATTAAAAAGTAAAAGCTCTAAAGATGTTCTCATTTCAACCAAACATGAAGAGAACTTTTTTTTATGTACTTGTTTTACTAACTAAGCTTCTGTTATGTGTAGTAATGTAATTAGGTTTCTTTTCTCAAGACATACTATATTATACATTATCTTTAGGAAAAGGAAAAGGTTGAAAGGACACAACTTACTAATAGAATATATCCTGCAGTGAGAAGTGAGAATTAAATCATTTTGTTCTATATTTACTTTGTCTGCAGTCATATCTGACTTTATCTATACTAGTCTACTAATAAGTTACATTATTAGCTGGTTTCAGGGCACTAGGAAAGTCCAAATCCTTAGGAAAATTAAGTTATAGTCATCATACTAGAAGATAATAACATTTTACATTTGAGTCATTTCCTCCTTCCTTAACTGTGGTGCCTACGTGAAGAGTTAGTCTATAATTATTCATTATGTCATGTCAGCTTCTCTTCGTATTTTCTTTATCATGTGTAACAGTTTCTGTGCTGGTTGTTCATGGTATATATTCTTCAGATCTTTCCTCCCTTTCTCCTCCTGTCTGTCTTTGTTACCAGCACTCTGTTTCCAAATCATGTGTACGACGCATTGGAGTCCTCAGTACCACCTCTTCTTATTTTCACTGTTTTAAGCTAAGTTGATTTATTCCTTGTGCTGGGCGTCATGGGCCTTCAAACTAGGAAGATGTTATTCTTCTTCTTCTGGAGCCCAAAGTCCACTAAAGAATGAATATATGTAAACAAATAGCATAAAGATGAGGAGAATTTGTAAGAGAAGGAGCAGATTGTAAAGGAGCTTATATATTGAGCCCAGGAATGTAGACTTGATTTCTCAGACATCAAAGAATCACCACAGAACTTCAAGCATTTTGATTCATTACTTATTTTTAAAAGGCAGTATTTTGTAGTCAAAATGAATACATTCATGGTACAAAAGATCATAAAGTAGGAATCACCTGAAATCTCACCATCCCCAATTATTCCTTTTTAAAAGTTTTATTTTCAATTGGAAAAAATTACATGTCTGTGAAGCACAGTGTAGTGTTCTGATACACATGTCATTGTGGGATGTAAACTAATTAATACATCTTTTGCTTACACACTTACCAGATTGTATCTTTGAAACTTTGTACCGTTCAGCAAACATATCAACAAATACTTAATATTTTTTATTAATTATACATTACGTGTGCCATACTTATACATTAAGTGTGCCATATAATCTAGGTTTTTGGCAAATACTCTTCACTGGGTTTCTAGGTTCCTTTTTTCTAAGAGGTTCATTTTTTAAAAAAGTTATGAGAGAATAGATTTAATTTTCATTTTATTAAATCTTTTTTCATGCATTAACTGAAAGGGTCATACTTTATTCTCTACTTGTACTCCACTAGTGTGGTAAAGTCTGTGGATTTTCCTCCCCTATGTTAAAACAACTTTGTAACAGAAGGATAAACCCAGTATTATGTTTTAAAACCATTAGATTCATTTTGCTGTATTTGCTTCTTTGTCTTTGTGATTGAGCTGGGTCTGTAATTTTCCTTTCTTGCACAGTTAACGTTTACTGAATTTCCATCTTTGTGCCACATTCTATGATTTGACAAGTAGATTGTTCATATTTATTTGACTCTGCATTCTTTGTGGTAGTAAATAGGCATCCCACAGTTTACCCTTTTGAGTGACATGATATTTTAGCACATTAGAGAGTTTTTCTTTCCAGTGAAGTTTTGAAAGTTTAGTTTAAATTCTTCAGGGATCAAGTCAGTTGGTTTTATTTATTTGGGTCTTTCTTGAATTAAATATATATCTTTCCATGAAGCACAGTTGAGTCCTTTGAAAACAGATCGTTGTTAACAAATATTTCTTTGTTTCTCATGAACAGAAGCCGCCAAACGTTGAAAGTCAGAGAGCACAGTGTATTGGGACCCTATGTGGATGGACTTTCTAAACTGGCTGTCACAAGTTACAAGGTAACAATGTGCTTTCTGTGAACTAACTTTTGTGCAGTTTTCTGTTGGATTTTTTTAAAAAAAAATTACAATAATAGCATCACTATATATATATATATATGGGATAGATGTAGAAAATCATAGACTTTACCTCTTGTTGCTTTTCAGTTTTAATTCTTTGTAACATTTTTCTTTTTTTTTTTTCAGTTAATTTTTGAGGCCTTTTATTTATCATGTTGAATTTTCCTTAAACACTATTGTTTTTCACTTCGAATTTTGTGATGTTCAAAATTTTTCACATATGTATATCATTTTAGGATTATGGTCAGCTGCACATAACATAAAAATATACTAAGATTAAGTGTATCTTCAAGTGTCTAGAAAGTACCTGGAATATGGTACATGCTCTCCATATACATTTGAGTGAATTAATGAAAGAATGGTGAATTAAACAAAGATTTTCATGGAAGCTATCTAGAGGAAACTGCTCTAGGACTGGCATGGTGGCTGTAAGCTGGGGTTCCTTTCCCGCTCTGCAGAGAAGATGGTAATGACAGTGTTCCCGTACCTCAGGATGCCTCTTACAGTGAATCTGTGATCGCAAGCCTACTCACTTTCAGGAATCTGTATTGTACCAGTGCTAAAATTTAGTCCTGTGGCCAGGCCTGTGCTGCAAGGGAATCTGGGAGGCGCAGTGTCTTATCTCTGCCACAGGATGCTTAGTCAAAGACAGGATTCTGTTACAGGAAAGAAAAGACTGGATCATAGTAGGGATCAACAAATCCATTTCACACATAACCATTTTTCTTGTTTCTCCTGAAAATGCTTATATGGTTGGTTATTTTATTTACTTGTTTATTTTTGTGGTGCTGGGGATTTAACCCAGGGCCTTGCACATGCTAAGCAAGCACTGTATCATTGAGCTACACCCACAGCCCAGACAGATGATGCTGTAGCTTTCTACTGTTAGTAATAAAACTAAAATTATATTGATTAAATAACCAATTTTAGAGCTTATAACATTTTTAAAATGAAAATTCCGTGATTTGTTATGTAATGCTGTCTCTTTTATTTAACAGTAATGTCAACAAGTAGCAAAATTAGTCTCTTGATGTTTTTATTTTTAAGTATAGATCTGCTAAGCTACAATGACAGGTAGTAATATACTTGGGTAGGGATTACAAGTTATTTTTATTTGCTTTTTCTTATTTTTATAATTTGATTTGTTTTTAACAGTAAACCTGTAGTGTCTTTATAATTAAAGAGACTTTTTTTCAAATTTCTGAGTGTTGAGATGGAATATCTGTCCATCGTGTATGACTCAGTAATATAGCTTCTAACCTTTCCTGAGTCAAAGCTGCCTCTTTCTTCTGTACATACAGAAAATATTACTTGAGTTTAGTTTTAGAGATACTGTTAGCTCTTTTATTCTGTGGGGCTTAACGTTCATTTAAAAATAAAGTGTAAACTGCAAATATTGTTGACTAGTAAAATTTGTGATGCATTTCACAGTACTGCTGAGTTTTAATGTTTATTACACAGATAATGAACTGTGCATCTGTGACTTATTTCCACTTAGGATATTGAGTCTTTGATGTCTGAGGGTAACAAATCTAGGACAGTTGCTGCAACCAACATGAATGAAGAGAGTAGCCGATCCCATGCGGTCTTCAAAATCACCCTGACACACACACTGTATGACGTGGAGTCTGGGGTAGGTGTTCATGTACATTGATCTCTTTTAGTTTCTGAAGTGTTCATGGTTTATGCTGTTCTCTTGAGATATTAGATGAATTCACATTATAGGCAGACTTACCTATCAATTGGGCCTTTAGACAAGAAGCAGTAGCCACTTTAGTGCTCAGAAAGGGATTCAAAGGAGGTGACTAGAGAGTTGTCAGAACACCTGATGAGGAGTGGGTCCTAGACAAATGTCTCTAGGAATGATTCCCAGAACCACACAGATTTGGTCCCTAGGATGATGTGAGCTTTGAGGACATCCTAGAGCTGTGCGTTTGAGGTGCACTCCATAGCTACGATGATCAGGAAGCAGGAGTAAAGTTGCCCCTGTCAATAAGACAGGGTCTTAGCACCCTAGAGATTGGAGCATGTGCTGGGAAACTCCAACTTCATCTTGCTGTGATCCTGCTTACCAGTGCAGACAGCCAAAAAAGGGCCACTTCACCTCGGTTGTCCAGGTCTTCAGCAAGAGGATCTGGTGGACAGAACTTGTGCCCTTCCCAGTCTCTGCCTATGTGGAGGTGCTGTAGAGACGTGGGCTTTCGTTCCCACCTTCTGGAAGTGAAAGAAGAAGGAAGCGAAGCCATGCAGCTGACGACCTGCAGTCCCAGCTCGGCAGCTTGGGCTCTGACTCTGCTGGCTGGCTGTGTGCACAATAATGCTCCGGCTGATTTAGCAGAGCTGCTTCTGCTAAACAGTCAGGATTGGAAAGAATAACTTGCACTGAGGAAATTATACTGTAAAGTTACTGGATTTGGTAGAAAATTCTTTTGAGTGTTTGGTTTGGAACCTGGTGAAGAACAAACTGAAACTGAGTCAGAGATGTAAATGCCTGTGCTACATTGAAGACTTCTTTGGGGACCTGTACATTTCTGTTTTCTCTCTTTGTGGGAAATTTTACATATTTTGTTAGGATGCCTATTCCTTAATACATCAGTTTCAAATACCAGAAGCTGAAATAATCACACTGGCAGAGTGCTGTATTTTGGCAAGATTTTCATTTGCAGAAAGCATATTTTTCTCTTTTTTTACCCATCACAGTAAGATTAGTGTAACAACAAAAAGTTCTTTGTTTTCTGTTTCCTTTTCAGAATAAGACAAAAAACATACTGAGGACATTTCTTTTTTAGCTGAGATTACTTTTTATTTGGGAAGTTGAGTATCTTTTTCATCAATGTGTTCACTTTATGGAGATAAATATAAATGTATATTTTAAAGGAAAGTTTAGGAAATGATCCAATGTATAAATTTTGTCATTGGCGTTCTCTTTTTTTTTTGTTGGTACCAGGGATCAAACTCATGACCTCGCACTTGCAAGGCAGGTGCTTATGCCACTGAGTTAAAACCCCAGCCCCTATTGTTTTTACATCAGTAAGAATATTAGTATTTTGCTTCAGAATTACTGGTAAAGATGGTGCACACCTCCAATCCCAGCACTTGGGAGGCAGAGGCAGGAAGATCACTGCAAATTCAAAGCCATCTGGGCTATATAGTTCAAGACCAGTGTAAACTACCTAGTGAGACCCTGTCTCAAAAAAAAAAAAAAAAAAAAAAATACTGATAAATACAAAAATTTAAACATAGTTTCAAATCATATTAAAATTCATATAAATACTTTGGTAGACATTTTTTTCTTTGCATTACTGGCTATTGAACCCAGGAAATACTGAGCTACATCCCTATTCCCTTTTATTACATTATTTTGAGACAGGATCTCTCTGAGTTGCTCAAATTGGCCTGGAACTTGTGATCTTCCTGCCTCAACTTCCTAAGCAGCTGGAGTTACAGGTGTATGCTGCCATGTCTGGCTCTTCTCTGAAAATTTGCATTGGGCTTCCTTCCAAATGTCTTTATTTTGAGGGTACTGTTTTTCTGAAATAACTGTCACACTGTCTGGATTAGTAGAAATCTGTGGTATCACTGCTAGATCGTACAGTTTTCTTATAGTGTTCTATAGCAGCACAAAATAATTTTGTAATAGCAAATTAATAAAGGACTTAGATAATGAAGCCGTGCATTCACGACAGCCTGCCCTCTGCATTTTTTGCGTTGTCTTATTAGTATATGTTTGCTTCACAGACATCTGGGGAAAAAGTGGGCAAGCTGAGCTTGGTAGATTTAGCTGGCAGTGAACGAGCAACAAAAACTGGAGCTGCTGGCGACAGGCTGAAGGAGGGCAGCAACATTAACAAGTAAGTTTCCTGGAGCTTAGCCCCTGCTTTGTTGACCTAATGGGGGGCCATGGAGGGGAGCATTGGGGGTTATTAACATAAGGTGACTCTGGACTGATTAAAGCTGTGCTGTAGTTTGGATTCGCCTTGCATGTTCCATTGGCCTGGCTCTCCTTAGCTCTTCACAGTGTTGTGATGGGGTGGAGGCTCACAGCCTCAGTCAAGTCAGGTCCTCAATAGTGGCCCTATTGACCTTTGGGTTGGTGGATACTTCCTCCTGGGGTGCAGTGTGCTGCTCATTGTAGGGTGTTCACAGTGTCCCTGACATCTGCCCACTAGATGGCATTAGTACTCTCCCCACCCTGGCTGTGACCACCAGAGAGATTTGCAGTTTCCTCTGGGGGCTGCCCCCCTCCAGGGTACAACCATTGGTCCAAGGTATAGAAAAGGACATCAGTTGGTCTGAGAGGCCAGGTGGTGACTGTGACCCCTGTTGCTGTCTAAACAGACACTGTACTAACCACATTGGGCTGGCCCTTTCATAACTACTGTTGTGTTTGTCCAAAAAGCAAGGATTTTGTGAAGTAATATTTTGGTCATCAGGTCCTTCATGTGGTTATATTTTGTCTCTCAAGCTAAACTAGAACCATCCTGTGGCCTGAAGCCTATCTGTACACAGGGTCCTATAAGGATGTGTACTGATTCATTAGTGGCCAACTAGAGATTACAGACACCTCATCCAGGTGCTGTGCTGTCATTGAATCACACAGATGTAAATTTCACTTACCCTGGGTTTTTATTATTATATTGTCTGTGGCTTCTTTCTTGAAGATACGGTGTTTGTTTTGATATATGGACTTAAGTTTTATAACTCACATTTTTATCTACAAATATGAAAGAAACTGGTTAAGCATTTTTATTGCTTTGGCTCAGTGTTAGAAGAATAGCAGGTCTTTATAGAGTTTGTGTTTTCAAACTGAGCAGCAAATTGCTGACCACAGTGCTGTTCGTGTGAACATCCAAGGGCATTCCATCTTTGTGCTAAAATGTGACATTCTGTATGCTCCAGTTTTTTAATATTCTGGTTTGTTGCACCATGCAGGTCCCTCACAACCCTTGGTCTGGTTATCTCAGCCTTAGCAGATCAGGGTGCTGGCAAAAACAAAAATAAATTTGTTCCATACCGTGACTCAGTTCTCACATGGCTGCTCAAAGTAAGTTTTTTCCTTCCTTTTCTGACATACCTTTGGTAGTTGGCAAAACAGAAGAATAAATAATAAACTGTTAATTAATCTTTTCTGGTTATAACTTCCTCCATCAGTGTTCAAGTTTATAATGATTAGCTGTTACACAATTTTCAAGGACTGAGTGTGCAAGTTTTCTTCCTGGTATAATCATCACATCCCCTGGAGCCTGCATGTGAGTGGGCTGCTTGGCACAGCTGAGTCACACAGTTGCTTCTCAAGATTTGTGGGGAGGAAGAGGAACAAGGGCTCATGTGACAGCTGAGCGAGCCACAGAAGGGGAGTGGGTGCTGCCTGGTACACTCTGCCGAGCTCTCCATCTCATAGGTCCTTTCATAGTTTGATCCTTCTCTTCTGTTTAACTTCACTCGTGATCATTTAATTGGCTTTCTCTTTCTTAGAGGTGTTGCTGGATATGAAGTAGGTACACACTCACCAATTAATTCACTAATATGCATGCACTAGAGGTAGAAATGAGAAAGTCGCCCCCACATGAAGTGCTTCTGAGGAGAGTGGAAGGACATGCAGCCACTCCTTAGTCTCCGTGGCTCAGGGTCCAGGACCCTGCAATAAAATTAGAAATTTATAATAAAAGGATAAATTATCTGTGATCATTAAGAAGCATTTGTGAGTGTATATTACAATCATTTTATTCCCAAGGATTGTGTTAGGCATTCGCCTCATCATCTCACTTTTTCCAAAAGAAATCTTGATACTTCTTCTTCTCCACAGACACATTTCCTCCTCGTACAGGACTATTCCTTTGGTCTGCCTGGTTTGAAAGAGAGAATATGCATTATCCATATTGTTGTACTGTTGCTACTTCAGTTTATTGAAAACAATAGGGGCTCTTTTGTTAGTTTAGTTGGTAATCATTAATGGCCTAGGTAGTTATTGAATGGCCACCCCCTCAGCTGGGTGCTAGGAGAGCCAGTTTGAGCAGAATCAGGCTCCTGCCAAGAGCTTCTGTCTAGAGGCATGGCATTGACTCCTCAGGAGGTGAATGGTAGTTTTCCCATTCATCAGATGAGCAAAGGCTGCAGAATCTGCAGATGGCAGGGTCAGGCCTAGACTCCAGAGTGAGTTCACTCACTGTCCACCTATCAGAAGATGCACCAGTGTTTGATAAGAAATAATGAAGAAAAACTGTTGGTAATATTTTAAAAATGGAGCAAAAAACATCTTCTAAAAAGCTCAGTTTTTATTTTTTTCCTCTACAAGTTAACTTTTCCTGTATAATTTAGGTTACTGGAATTTTCATGTGTTAAGCCTCAGCTTAAAAAATAAATTAAGGGTTTGTTTGGCTGTTGTTTTTTGCTTCAGTTCATCTGTGAACTTTTTAAGATCATGTTTTACTTTTGCATCAAGAGCATAAATAGGGACACTTCTACAAAAGGTTCCAGAGCTTTGAGGTTCTCGTTGCTTTTTTCTCCTCTAGCTGCTGCTCTAACTCTCCTGATCCTCATGCAGCACGAATGGAGTTCTCATACTCCTCAGTGTAACTTCCATTGTGCTTACAAACCCACTCATCTTTTATAAAACTTGCAATTTCTTTTACAGTTTTTGTATTGTATTTTCATAGTAATTATGCCCTGCTCTTGATATTTGCACCCTTCTAAACCTCAGATAATGGGTACCTTTCCAGTCAACCTGCTTTGTCCATTCTTACTGCCATCACCTTAATGGAAGCCACTTTCATTTCTTGCCTAGAGGACAACATTGCCCTCCAGCTTCTTTAGTCAAATTCATTCTCTGGAGTTAACTTGCAACTTCTTTCTGAGTTAATCTTCTTACCCTTAAATCTCTGTGGTAACTGTCCCCAGGCCCTGGGAATCAAGTCCAAATTCTTTAACCACATGTGGCCTACAGTACACTTCATACCAACCCTTTCTTACTGCTAGTTGTTCCTCTTTTGCTTCCTGGTGTTGTAAATTCTAACTTAGGGGGAGGAGTGCGGAGTGACTTGTAGGGCTTCCTCCTTCTGGTAGGCGCATTCCCCCTCTGTCTCCTCCTCCCCTGCATAGTGCTTACTCATCTGAGGTCTTAAAGGCTACCTTCTCTGGGAGCCTTTCTAACCTCAGAGCCGGCCTTTTGACCTGTCTTTGTTCTCCCTGGTCATATTGTATTTAGTCCTATTTTAGTTCTTTTCATAGAGCACTTGCCTCTTCCGCTAGATGGTAACCTTCAGGAAGAGTTGAGTGATGAGTAATTTTAGTTCTCCAAACCAGCTTTATGATTTTGATGAGTCTACCTATCTTCCTGGGTCTCAATTTCTCATCTGTGAATTGAAGTAATTTGATGACTTCAGAGTTCATTCAGCCTTAAAAAAATTCTCCCCAAATTAAATCTTTCCAATGTCCATTTAATTTGCAGATGCTACATTGAAACAAAGCTCCTCTGATTTGCCTAATTAGACAATTAAAGAGTAAACAAGAAGCTTTATACTTTCTCCTTGAATGAGTGCCAGCTCTTTTGTTGCTGTTTACTTGTGCTAATAGTACAAGACCTTTTTTAATATAAGCATATTGTTGCTCCATGAACATGAACTTTTCACATATTGAGCATTTGCTGTTTGCCAGGTTTCCTCTTCTCAGGATAAACTGCAGTGTGAGACACACTGTTTTCCTTGGTAGTTGCTATTAGAACTCTCCTTTACCTGTTCCTCTTTGCTGTTCATGTGGGCTGGTGTTCGCAGAAGGCATTGGTGCACCTGGGGAACAGAACTGGAATACGAGATTTAATCCATGTGATCTTTTTCCATCCCATGTGAGTCTCATTAATATATATGGGACTCTGGATGACATTTTTCTGGAAGTTACCAAATTTGGGGCATCAGGATTGTGAGATAATGTCTAGAAGTGAAAGAACACCACAAGCAATTGTGGCTTTTACTTTCTGAAGCCCAAATTAGTTATTATATTTCCTGCCTTTGCATACCTCGAAGAGTATTTTCTACAATTTTGTTTCCTCCAGGAAAACACAATTTCAGATAGTTGAGTAAACAGACATTGTGTGTGATTATGTAGAACTGCTAGTAATACCTAGAATTTCTGACACAAGGACAAATTAATTTAGAATTGTGTGGGGATCATCTGACTTAATCCTCAGGTCTGAACTTTCTATGTGTGTATTGTGGCTATTTGTGGAGAAGTGGAAATATTAATGAATTACAAGCAGAATACAGATGGGCAGTAGATTATTATTTAGTTTACCAGTTCTGAATTTTTAGGGAGAGTATTTAACATCATTTCTCAGAACAAATCTTTTCTCATTGACAAGATGGAATACTAATGATTGATTTCACAAAACCCCTAAAAACTAAGTAAATTGTGTGCACCAAGATTGTATAAATCAGATCACTATAGCCAATTTTATATAAATTGAAATTGGAATGACTTTATATATCTTCAAAACTAATAATTTTCTATAGGTTAATGTTTCCCAAAAGTAGAATAGCTTTTTTTTTTTTTTTAAATAATGTAGTGAATTATCTATTACTGGCCTCAGGCATTTTTTCCTTCATCTTAAAAAAAAAAACTCACTCTTGCAGCTAGCCTTGAAGTTACTGGTGTAGCCCAGACTGGCCCCCCAACTTGTGGCAGTCCTCTGCCTCAGCCTCCTGGGTTTATAAGTGTATGCCATCATGCCTAACTTTTTCCTTTAACTTAGGCTATATTATTCAGTGACATTCTGTCACTTAAAAAGAGTCCATCCATCTGTCCTTCTTTTCCTTCTCTTCCTCCTCTCTGTCTCTGTACCTACCCCTGTCCCTGTCCCTGTCCCTAACTTTGTATCTCTGTATAACTCTTGTCAGCCTAGGGCAATATGTTAGTGTGTAAGTAGTTCTATTGTTCTACAACACATTACTGGAAAACTTAGTTGTGGGGAATGACAGTTGTTTATCATCTTGCAGTTCCTCAGTCAGCTGTGAACTAAGTGGTCTGGCTGGGGTCTCAGGTGGCTGCTGTTTGGAGTCAGCATAGGCTGTGGGCATCTCAGGCCTGGACCGGGAAGGAGACATCTGCTTGCTTACACAGTTGTGGGCAGGTCATGTCTGCTTCCAAACCCATTCCTGTGTGTGTCCTCAAGGGGTCACCCTCACTCCTGATATCTGGTTTCCTTCAGAGCAGAGACAGAAACCATCATCTCATTTTAGTGGCATCTCACAAGGGACATGCCATCACCTGCACTGTATTCTTGCATTACAGGATGGTCAGTACAGGCTGGCTACACTCACAGCAAGGGAACAATACCAGCTGGCAAGTCGCAGGAGGCAGGGATGACTGGGGGCTGTGTTACGGGCTGCCTGCCTCAAACAGGCCATAGTAGGCCTCTCTTGTGTGGTCGGGTAGACAGTGGGGTGGGCTTAATAGCCCAAGTTCACTTTTGAATTCCTAAGTTGTATCTTTTTCCCTTTCTTTGACCTGCTTGCTCCCTCTCTTGTCTTCCTCTCGCCCTTTGTTCTCACCTTGTGTTCGTTGAATCTGGGGGTCTCGCTCATATTCAGCAAGCTTGCTCTATCAATGAGCTGCATTTCCAGCCTCTTATCTCAATTTTAATTTTTTTTTCTTCTGAAGTAAAAGTGTTGTGTTGTTATTGTTGTTGGAAGCTAGTTCCAAAGCTTACTTATCTGGACTTACCAGTTCCAGTACTATAAAGACAAGTAATGAGTATTTTGTCTTAGTGGCTTTGTTTGAATTGTGAAAGCCATTGTGTAGATAGATGAGGGATCTCTCCAACCCCTGGACCACAGACCACTGCAGATCTGTGGCCTACTGGGAACCAGGCTGACAGCAGGAGACGAGTGACTGGTGGGGAGGTGAGGGAGCAAAGCTTCATCTGTGTTTGCATGACTGGCATCATGGCCTGGGCTTTGCCCATGGTCAAATCAGCGAGACATTGGAGTCTCATAGGCGCTTGAACCCTCCCCTGAACCACATACTCGAGGGATCTTGGTCTTCTCTCCCCAGCCCCAGGTCTGGAAAAAAGTCTTCCAAGAAACCGTCCCTGGTACCAAAAAGGGGCAGGAACCATTGGAGTAGTTCTGAAGCCTTGGTTAGTAGTTTCTGCCAGATTACTAGCAGTGCTATTGAAGGGAAGAAATGCAGTTTCTGAACATGGCATTTGTCTTGGGAGACTATAATTCTACCTGTGTCTTAAAAGCATGAAAGGTTTTTAGGGGACAGTACCATCAGGTTCACAGCATGGGGAGGATCTCGGTTCAGAGGTCAAATAACACTGCTCATTGAATTTCTCTAAGGGAGATGTCATAGGCATTTAGAAGTTCTTTTCATTCTGAGTAGTCTGCTCACTAATGTATCAAACTGCCTGTTAAATGAGACAAGTTGGTTTAGAACTAATTAATTATTATTCAGTCTTGATAGTACTGGCGATTGAACATGCTGTGCAGGTGCTGTAGAGCTACACCCTCAGCTCTTTTTTGCTTTTTCATTTGAGACAGGATCATGGTAAATTTTTCAGGTTAGTTTTGAACTTGCTGCTCTCCTGCCTCAGCCTCCCAAGTGACTAGGATTATAGGGTTGTATTGCACCCAGGTTAGAATTAATTTTTATTAAAGTGAAATGAATCATTTGACTTTCCAGTCCTTTCTGAAAAAAACAAAAGAGTCCCCTTTTTTGAAAAGTAGCTTGGCAGAGAAGACTCAGAGCCAGAACATCAAGGACCGGGGTCCTTGTCCCTGCATGTGAGCCCCAGCTTTGCCTAGTAAATATGTGTTTGGTTTTGGCAGTTTTTCTCTTGCTGATTCAGCTTTCTCATGTGAGATCTTCTGACTTTAAACTATTACCTACTCGCTTTTTTCTCCTCCTGGCAGGACAGTCTGGGGGGCAACAGCAAAACAGCCATGGTGGCTACAGTGAGCCCAGCAGCTGATAACTATGATGAGACCCTCTCCACTCTGCGGTACGCAGATCGAGCCAAGCACATTGTTAACCATGCTGTGGTGAACGAGGATCCCAATGCCCGCATCATCCGGGATCTCCGAGAGGAGGTGGAAAAGCTCCGGGAGCAGTTGACCAAGGCAGAGGTATGAGGCATGCACAACCTCCTCCAGCTAGGGCTTGAATTGCCTTCTCTTTGGCCTGAAGTGAGAAAGACACTACTAAGAATCTTTGAATTTCTCATGGGAAGAAAATCTGAGCTGAGTGTTAAGCAAAAGAAAGTTGTCATATTTAAAATGTTAAATTTGGTGAGATTAAACGGGATTGTAGAAGAGATAAAGGGAGTTGAGGAAATGTTCTTTTCCATTTCTATTTGGGCAGCAGCTGTGAGAAAAGGAATACTGGAACAGGGAGAGAAAGAGGTACAGGGAAGAGAGTGCATGTCATTTAAGTTTTGTGCAGAAAATGAGATTGGGCACAGAAAAATTGAAAGAGGAGTCAGCAGTTACTGGTTTTTTTGGGGTTTTTTTTGGCACCGGGGATCAAACTCAACCGCACACTTGCAAGGAAGGTGCTTATGCCACTGAGCTAAATCCCCGGCAGTAGTTACTTTTTCTCTCATTTGTTAGCTGAAAGCCAAAATAAGGGTCTTGCTCACTTTAACCGTATTAATAATTATTCATACTAATCATTTTATATTGGCTAATTTTGTTTGTAGACAATACACTATAATTGAAGTACCCAAGTACTTTAATGTAGTAGCAATGTTTTATCTATCTTCTGGGTATTCTAGAATGGGTGACGCTCATGTTCCATTACTGAATTTGAAAACCTGCACAGTTCTAGCCTACAACCAAGTGCTCCACCAGTGTCAGATCAGGACCCTTGTGGTGTTTTTGTCATACAGTCATTTAGCACTGTGAGGACTTCTTGGCGTTGGCACCTAGTTTTTTGATCCTAAACCAGTAAAATACATAGTCAAAATAGTTGGTCATGGGTTTGGCTTTTTTTTTTTTAAACAGGCGTCCTTTTACAATTTTTCATGGCCCTTGGGAATTTTGTGTCTGTCTTTGTATTAATAACACCAGGTTTCAACATGTACACATTTTTTCCATTTGTGCTTGAATGAATTCTTGAAGTCATCAGTAGCAACTAAAGTAAGTCATGTGTATGAACCTAGATATGTAATGTATTGAATTTAGAGTGACAAGCCCTAATAGTTCTATGTGCTTACCTCCTTAAATAAAAGGAGATCTTTACAGGAAGATAGAGGAAAGGGAGAAGCAAAGTCTTCCTTCAGAAGGTACTTTGGGTGAGCTAGTGGTTTGATCCTCACAGTAACCAGGCACCAGGGTCAGTGCTGGCTCACCGTTTCAGGCAAATGGAGATCTCAAGTGTGTCACAGCCCTGAGCAGAGGCAAGGACTAGCTTTGTCCTCCTTGAGTTAGCTGATTGCTTTTCTAGGGCACTGCCCAGATCTTTCATGAAGTAAACATTTTGCTTATAGGCAATGAAATCTCCAGAGCTAAAAGACCGACTGGAAGAATCTGAGAAGCTGATCCAGGAAATGACTGTGACCTGGGAGGAAAAATTAAGAAAAACAGAAGAGATTGCACAGGTTCGTGTTTCCTAACTGATCCAGAGATGGTGTTTCTCTGGTTCCTTTTTGCTCTACAGCTTTGCTGTTGGCAAATCTAGCACCATGAATAGGAACCCATATCCAAGACAATCTGTGTGTTACAAAAATAATTCAAAGGATAAAGAAGGTGTAATTGCAATGGTTTATTTTTTTTGCTATGGTTTATTGTGTAAGAAATAATCAATGTTTAATATCAGTAATACTTTTTAAAAAGTAAAATAACTGCTTGTACCTTCTGACTCTGAGACCCTCATTCTTTTAACTAGACTTAAAAAAGCTACTGAAATTATAAAATTATTAGTAGTAGATAGTTGGTAATAGTTAATCAATGAGCCTTTTCCCTTTGTAACAACTTCAGTGAAAGTAATACGAAATAATCCAGATCTGTGGTGACTCATTCTTGAAAAACCTAAAGTAGAGGATTGTCAGCTTTTTGGTTAGGAACGTTAGCATTAGTTTAAGAACACCAAGTCAAGTTTAGCATTGGGGAAAGGTGCCGAAAAGTCTTGTCTCTTAGAAAAAGACTCTGGCTTTCCTGGTTTGTGGTCCTGTACCCTCTGATTTAGAAATATATATGGAGGTGTGGAGCTCAGAACCTGGGCTAGTAGTCTTCTCATGACTGGATGACTCTTTAATAGTGTCTATTTGATTAAAAGCTTTGTTTTTCCATTTCTACTCATCTGTCCTTTGTCCTGTTCATGTGTAGTGACTCATGACAGTAATGCCAACACTTGGTGGATAGACTTCTGTATTGGGCACTTTGCAAATAAGCACTTATAACTAAAGTATTTTATGTAATCCTCTCAGTAGCCCCACAAGATAGGGACTGTTGTTATCCAGTTCAGTTGTTTAGCTATTTATAGTCACTGATCTGTCTCTTGACCTTTTCTGATTTAAGCCAATGTTTTAGCTACTCCTCATTTTAGAGAATTCATAGAACGCATGACATCTTTCATCATCCAGTGCATTTCTTCTTTAAATGTGCAATCCAGAATTAATTTATACTTCACATGTTGGAGGAAGGTACTACTCTTTCTTAGCATAAAGTGGCTGTTACCTTAGTGTGAACTAGGTTTTAATTTGATTTCAAAAACATTTTATCAAAGATACTTTGAACTAGAGAAGAATATAGTAAGTACACTGGTAGCCAACACCTAGTTTCATTATATGTCAGTATATGGCCAATCTCATTTCATCTGTGTCCCTGCCTGGACCCAGGTTACAGACAAGAAAACATACCAGCATATAAACACTTTCTCATTACCCCTGTCACTATATTTTTCATGAATTAGAAGTCCTCCTAGAAATCGTACAGTTTGGAATTACTGTGTTGCACCTTTTTGAGTTACCCTGACAGTGACCCTCTGCCTTTGAAGTGCTGTTGTGATGATGGACACAAAGCAGTTTGAGTCTAAGTGAGATTAGTGTTTGGGGCTTACCCTTGGCGTCTTTTCCTTTTCTGCCCGCAGTGTACCAATGGAGGACTCTGCTGATTTTTGTTGTTTTTTGTTATGTTTTTTTGAGATAGGGTCTTCACTGTGAAATTTGGACTGGCCTTGATCTCACTGTGTAATACAGGCTGATCATCGTGCATTAGCTGTGTCAGCTATAAGACTGGGATCCCGGGTGTGTATGTACCATCATGCCAGACTGCAAGGGCTCTGCTGATTCTATCCAACACCTCCTTCAGTATCTCAGCTTCTGAGCCCCCAGGCCTTGCTGCTGCTGAGCTTTTCCTGTCTCTCACTGATAAAATCTGGTCTGTTGGTCGTTTACCTCTTCCCATTCCAGACTGGCATTTAAAAGAAAGCTTTTTCGGGGGCTGAGGATTTAGCTCAGCGGCATAAGCACCTGCCTTGCAAACAGGCGGTCGTGAGTTCGATCCCTGGTACTGATAAAAAGTTTAAAAAACAAAAAAAAAAAAAAAAAAAAAAAAAAAAAAAGAAGAAAGCTTTTTCTGACTGTAGTCACAAAATATTAGTAAGTGTCTGGTCAGATAAGTCTGGCAAATCACAGGTAAACTGAGCATGTGTCTTTTCTGAAGAACTTCTCACGTCGTATTTGGGGCTGTTGCAGGCCAGGCACGCTCTTTGTTCTGGTGCTGCAGTGTGCCAGCTCTCAGAGGTGACCTGCGCTGTTTGATCAAATACATGCATTATGTTACTGTTGTTTAATTGGTCAGGATACTTTTATTCTCTAATGAGTTTGTAAGATTCTCAAGAAGGGGTATCTTTTAATTTTTAAGGAATATATTTAAAATGGTTTTAAATAAACAAATCAAAATAACTTTTCTAATTTCAGTGCCATATCTACTGTGCCAAATTGTCTGTTGCTTTCATTTTTTATGTTCCCATTAAGAAATGCATGCTTATGTGAAATCAAAAGTTTGAGACCAGAGGTTGGCAGCTAATTCCTGGGGGCTGTGCCTAGTCTGACACTTGTTTTGTAAATAAAAGTTTATTAGACCAAAGCTATGCTCGTTTATATATTATCTGAGACATCAACAGCAAAATGAATAGTTTAAGACACACAGAATAAAATATTTAATATTTAAAAAATAATCCTTGATACCAGAAATAGTATTTCATATCAATAAACATAACTGTAGGGTTTACTATGACATACAGTAAGTTCCTGATTTATGAACAAGTTCTTTTCCAGGAGAATTATTTGCAAGTCAGATTCATTTGTAAGCCCACAAAGTGAGTTTCACACAGTACACCTGTCAAAGTTCACGACTCAAATGTTCATAAGTTGGGGATTTACTGTACTTTTTATGAACCGATTCCTAATGCTATTTATTTTTAATTTATTTTAACTTAAAAAATTTCCAGTTGACATTTATAGTTTTTTATAGGGTAGAATGTGCAGTTCTTTTTGTTAGAAAAGACCTTTGATTCAAAGACCCAAAACTAAGACACCCCTTCCCTACTTTTGTAACAGTGTCTTCATAGGTGGGTTGCAGCGGCCATGTGAAGTAGGATGGTTCTCCTAGAATGAGTGAAATTCTTTTTCTTTTAATCATGCTGCAGACTTGCTATAGGGCCTTAGTTAAATGCCCTAGTCTCCTTTGTTTTGTCCCAGAAGCACATGTCCTCAGTGTCTGTGACTTCTCACATGCTCTTTACTCATAGTCAAAGACGTACCACCTGCCTTGATTCACCAGAATGTCCTGCTGGGAGGCTCTCATGTGTGTTTACTCCTATGTGGCATGGCTTTCAGAGGCTGACGGTTTCAGGGGAAGGAAAGGCTGATATTCCTGTGAATCTGGGCTGGAATGCAGTGCATCAGGGTTTCTTTGATGAGGTGACAGCACTCATATTTTGAGTGCTTACTCTGTGTCCCGCACTGTGCACAAATAGTGACCCATACTTGCAAAGCTTGCAGACTGGCATGAGGCACATGGTCAGGTAAACAGATGGTCGTGGAGAATGAGAACAAGCCTGCTCCAGGCAGAAGGAAGAAATATGAAGTCCCTTACCTGAAAGCAAGCAGAGCCAACGTCATGGTGCCTTCAAGGATCTGGATCAATGTTCCATGTGACTGCTGGCAGGGTTTGTGTGTAGATGTGGCAAGACATGAAACAGAAGGGGCATGGGCCAGAATGAAGGGCCCTTGGAACTTTACTGTGGGGCTTGGGCCTTTATCTTGACTAGGGAGTGCTTAAGGTATCAAGTGAAAACTTGGCTTTTTGGAAAGTTTGTAGTTGAATAAAGCACTCTCTAGTTAGCTCACATATACAGAGTTAAATGAGCTAACTTGAAAGTGTTTGATATTTTTCAGAATGAAATTTGAGAACTCAACTAGTTTACTTGTTTGCTATTTGTAGTGGACTTTATTCTTTAAAAACTTTAATAAGCACAGTAAAACTAGATAGTTTGGAAAGAACACGATGCAAGAAACTGCAGTGGTATATTAAAGATACCTTATTTGAATTATAAAGGTTGAATAATTTTTCTTTCATGGGGGTGCTGGGGACAGAACCCAGGGCCTCTCTCTTGCTGGGCAAGCATTCCCCAACTCAGCCACAACCCTAGACCCAAAGAGTCGTTCTCATGTAGGATCTTCTGTGTCTTGCTGCCTCAGTAGCCCAGGGACTACACACACCTCCACTGTGTTTGCAGGAGCGACAGAAACAGCTGGAGAGTCTTGGGATATCGCTTCAGTCTTCAGGAATCAAAGTGGGGGATGATAAGTGCTTCCTGGTTAATCTGAACGCCGACCCTGCTCTGAACGAACTCCTAGTGTACTACTTAAAGGTGGGTGACCTGGCTTCCAGGGCATTGTATGCTGCACAGTGCTTTTATACTCAAGAAGGCATGCTTATTCAGAAAACAGAGTTATCAAGTGGTTTTTGTTTGGGTAAGCTGGAATATAGAATAGTCTTTGGTTTCTAGGATCAGTTTCCCTTTTTAGTTTTGAGTGATGTCATTCAGCTTAATCCTATATATATATATATATATTGGTATTATTTTCAACAAGATAAACAGCTTACCTAACATTTTTGATAACTTACACCAGGGAATGATTGTAAACTTAAAAGATGACTTTTAAGACCAAATGATTCATTTAGTCACTGGATGAAAGTGACTGATTTATATGAAGGTTTTTGTGAGCATTTTTTGTTAGCTCATGAGAAGAAATGTTCAAAGAAAGTAAAATTCTTAGGACCACTTACTTTGGAATTTATGTTTCCAGTAACTATTAGGAAAATAAAAAAAATTTTCAATTTATTATTTGCAAGAAAAGAGAGAATAGGTCTCTGAGAAACTGAGGGAGTCAGGGTGCAGAACAGGAAAAAAAATATAAATATTGATATGTTAGCTTTTCATTGCTATGACAAAATGAGAAAAGAAAGTTAAAGGAAGAAATGTTTATTTTGGCTCATGGCTTTAGGGGTCTCAGTCCATGGTCACTTGGCTCCGGGCTGTGTTGCTTCTGGGGTAGTGGTGAGGCAGAACGTTGGAGCAGACCGGACAGTGAAAGAGAGGGGTGGGTCTCATGTCCCCTTTGGAGGCACCCCATGACCTGCTTCCTCCAACCAGAGTTCTCTTCAAGGTTCCACCACCAGCCAGGGACCAAGAGTTCAGTATGTAGACACTTAGGGGACATTGTAGAACCAAAGCATAGTATTGGTATACACTGAAATTTGTAAACCATGGGTTATGTTAGGATGACAAGACAGCTTTAGGAAAAGCATGAATCCTGAGATATCATACAAATTATGAGGAGTAAATTGCCTTTGTCAGATTCAGAGCATAAGTTAGTTTTGTTGTGGATTTTATTCGGATGTACTTTCTTTGCTTCTCATGAAGGTGGAATTAACCAATGTAGCTAGGAATGCAAAGCAGATGAGCTGATTAGGTTGGAAATAGCTTTAAAAAGAGAGACTCATGTGATTTCATTTGTAAAAAAGCTCATGTTGGTTGGCTTCCCACTTTCTATTCAAAGATATCCTTGAATAATTATGTGTCATTCTGATAAGCCCTAATTGATAATAAGTGTCTTATACCATGCTTGGTAATGTTGTGAGCTAAGTTGTGTATCTGACGCCTGGCATGATGTGTGCACATCTCAGACACTGTAGTACTGGGGCAGCGCTGCAGGAGGAGGGAGGTGGCCTAGGTGGTGAGTTCATGGTCAAGGCCTCTGCCCCTTCTCTCCTTCCATCTCCAGGCTCTTCCTTTGCAAATGCATGGGAGTTACTCTGACTGCTATGCTGGGTTAATGCGGGGATTTAATATGTGGAATCAACTTTATAAGCAAACACTATTTGTGTGGATTTTCCACATCGTACTTTCATTTGATACTCTGGGGTCTGTGGTCCCTTACACAAGTAATAATCCTGTCTATTAAGAAGGATGTGTTGTTGTGCTTCTGACCAGCATTGGCAACTTTTTGAGCTAGAGAGTCAGCAGTAGACATTCATACTAGAATGGGACTTAGTAGACCCAGACCTAGGAATTTTTTCTTTCTGATATGATATACTTCAAGTTGGAACACAAAGACACAAGAAAAAACCCTGATCATAGCTGTTCCTTAACTGGAAACTTGAACAAAGAAACCATTCAGAGATTTTTGAGAAGTCAAAACATTTCTGGTCATTTGCGTGGAGGTGTCTGGTTCCACTTCAGACTGTGTGGTCAGCCCCGTGTGGCTAGTGTTGGAGGCAGTGTCAGTGCCTTGACTTTCCAGGCGAACCTCACAACAAGGCTATATTCATGACCAAGCACATTCAGAAGGGTGATCTCAGTTTAAGAACAGTTTTCACTTCAGTAAAGTGACTCCACGATGTGGGATGGTGGAATTTGGAGACCACTTTTTTCTTTCTTTGCCTTGGGCTCCATGAGTTCATTGAAATGCTGGACATGTAACTCCAGAGAGATGACCTCACTCCTTCAGATAGCTTTAGCCACACCATCTGCAAGGAAGTCAGAGTCCCTGGAGTTCCTTCCAATTCAAGTTCCACAGCTTCTTCCTCTTCCAGAACAGAATCTTACTGTGTCTCTTCTGGAATGCTTCGTGCTGGTACACTTTAGGGTCCTCATGCTCTTACAAGGAGGTTGAACTGTGTGCCATCCCCAGGTCACTTGGTCTCCTTTTGCTTGCTGTATACCTTGCCGGTATCAGATGCCCACTAGGTCATCTGCTATGAGAAATTTTGTCTTTTCCTTGTCAGTGTTTGTATAATATTACCTAGAGTATAAGATAAAAAGCTTACTGACTTAAACTACACTGAGGCATTAGCAGAATGAGCTTTTTGATGTCAGAGTTTGAGATTCCAGTGCATTGTCATCCAATTGAAACAGATTATACCCTGAAATGACAGACTTAAGTTGTCATTTAAAATGTAAACTCTAAGATTTTTTTTTTTTATTTCTTTCGTATCCAACTAAAGGTGCTCAGTACATTAGATGAAGAATGAAATTTTTCTTCTGGAATTTAGATTAGACCAATGCCCAGTATATTTGGTAAAAAAATAAAGTTCTTTTTCTAGAATTCGGATTAGACCTTTGCCTGTCTGAGTTAATGTCTTCTGTCCCGATGACATATGATCCATTCTATCAACAGATGCTTAGCCCCCACAGTGTATTTTATGCCACTGGTGCCAGATGCAAGAATCTTGTATAGTCTGCTACCCAAAGAAGGTGGAAAGAGCATTTGTGAAATAGTAGGTCACAGTGTTTCCTGACCCACATGCACTCAGGGGTGGAGAAGAGAGGAATTGGAGTTTGGCTGAGAGAATCCTTCAGAGATGAAGTTCGACGTAGCTGTTGTAAGACATTGTGTATGCTGGGCAAGAGTCTCGCAGGGAGAGGAACAGCGCCAGAGGGCAGCTTCTGAAGGGGGTGACCCCAGCCTAGGGACCAACTCCAGGACTTTCTCTCAGTCACTACCCCTCCCCAGGACAGGAAGGATCCCCAGGGCACAGTTAGTACTCTACCCTACAGTTGTTCAGAGCAGGAGGAGGAGAGTCTACAAGACCTGGCCCAGAGGGGTTTCCTTCTCCCACAGTGGCCTCGGGCCCTTTTCTCTCAGGCCTGCTTTCCCACTTGGAACATGACCCTGCGGTCATGCATGAGTGAGCACAGGCTGGAAGCGAGAGGTGGGCATGGGGGTGAGGGAGCCTTCACTTCACACAGACGACAGACTTGTCACCTGAGTTATGGTTATGTCCAGCAGACTTGCCTGCTTGCCACATGGAGTCCACCCTGGTTTGTGTGGCTGCGAGCTAAGAGTCGGCCTTTATATTTTTAGTGGTAGGAGAGGAGTAGGAGAGGAGAGGTAGGTAGAGGAGTAATACTTTGGACATGTGAGCCTTTATATGAAGTTCAAATTGCAGTGTTCTTAAATGACATTTTATTGGAATTTAGTTCACTTTAGTCATTTATATACTTCCTGTCTGGTTTTGTATGGCAAGGGCAGAAAAGCAGCCTGTGTAAGACTCTGGTGTTAGCACCTGCAGCATAGTACACAGTGTGTGGTGGGGCGGGTGACAAAGCCTACTGTGTCTTAACATCTGACCGCTGACTCAGGGGTCCCTTAGAAAGAGAAAAGAACAACAAGGGGGCCTAGGGACACTGCCTGTCCCTGTCAACAGTCACGTGCAGTTATCAGCAGTTGTGGTGTGTGCAAGGGAGCCCACTTCTTACACAGTTTCCTCCATCAAGGACAGGTGAGTTACCTGCCAAAAAGTGGGTTAGAGGTGAGCAGTTGGGGTTCTGAGACCAGAAGAACCTAATCTGTAATGTGTCTTCTGTGAGGTTCAGGGCACAATGAGATTCATGTATAACTTGAGTCTTTTCAAACCCTCACATGCCAGTGGCTGTTTTCTGTGTCATGTCTCACTCTGATTGAGATAAGGATGTCCAATTGAGAAACTGGTTTCCAGACCATGTTTTTGGTACATCACTGACACATGGCTCATTCTCTGAGAGCAGTAGGAAACACTTATAGTAGAGTATGAGGTTTATGTTATAGCCATGAATACAAAATAATTTTAAGCTAAAAGGCACAACTCGGCTGAGTGTTATTCTTTATAAAGAAATGTAACTTATGGACTGAATTTAGAGAAAGCCTCCATTTGCCTTAAAGATCTTTCACCTAAGATAGTAAGTTAATGTAAAAGGGCTCATTGCAGGTGATTTTAGTTGACACACATTTGAAAATACAATATCATGAGCAAATTTGATTCTCTCTTAGGAGCACACATTGATAGGTTCAGCAAATTCCCAGGACATCCAGCTGTGTGGAATGGGAATTCTTCCTGAACACTGCATTATAGACATCACCTCAGAAGGCCAGGTTATGCTGACTCCTCAGAAGAATACCAGGTAATGTACTAGGATTTGTGTTTAATATCACAGCACTTTTCAAGAAGGAGAAAATACATTAGTGGCGTCACTTGAGACATCCAGGTCGATGCCAGTCCCTTTCTGTTTAAATTCAGTAACCCCTCTCTCTGTGTTCGCATTCGTGGCCTTGTTTAGGCCTCCCCAGGGCTGATCAGAGCCCCTGGGAACACCCTGAGCAGCTGCTTGATTCACTCAGGCGCAGCTGGCGGTCTAAGAGTCCATTATACCCCCCACACCCCCCCACGCAGCTCCTGCTTCTCAGCACCGCCCTTCCTTTGGCCTGGCTATTCTGTGTGCCCTTCAGGCTTACATGCTGTTATGAATGTCCTTTGGGAGGTCCCTGTTTACTGACACTTTCCGATGGCATCTGAAGTCATCCAGTCAAAACTTGGGTCTCACACTCACTGGGACACCTGACCATCCCTCAGTGTGAGTACTGAACCGCCTTATTCACCTTGCTAAGTTTCCGGTAGCCTTTGATTGGAGGACATTGACATGAGATTTTCAAAATTTTAATTTTTATTTGAAAGGTTTAATGTTACCTTTGGCAACAAGTGCTACTGGTTGTTTTCCTCAAAGTGACAGGCTCGCTGTCACCTCTTATACTTAGTACTGTAAACATTTTAGGGAAGTATGGATATTAAAATTAACAATTATTAAATTATTAATAAACAATTAAATTATTTAATAAAATATTAAATTAACAATTTAGGGAAGCCATGAATATTAAAATTCACCAAGGGCATGTTTTCTGGAATTATCATTTTGTTTCCCCTAGGAACTAGACTGTTGTAGTACTAGAAAATTAAAACAAGATGAGGAAATCATCACTCATTGCTTTTCTCTTCTCTCCACAGAACATTTGTAAATGGGTCTTCTGTCTCCACTCCAATACAGCTGCACCACGGGGACAGGATCTTATGGGGAAATAACCATTTCTTCAGGTATGACACTGTACAGCTCTTTGGGGCTGGGGATTTAGCTCAGCAGCATAAGCACCTGCTTTGCAAGTGCACAGTCTTGAGTTCAATCCCCAGTACCAAAAAAATAAATAAAGAAAGAAAGAAAGAAAGAAAGAAAGAAAGACACTGTATGGCTCTCAAAAAGGAAAAGATTTGCTGATTATGCTCCAAAATAGAAGCATTATACAAATTATGCATTATTTTGTATATTTGTGTATATGTTTGTGTTTGCTGTATGCATGTTTTTATGTTTGTTCACTATATAAATATGTCAGAATCCTAGGAACGTGGGGCTGCATACTTGAGAAAAATTCTTATTTTATATACGTTTTCTCCTTTTTCTTTCCCACTGCGTATTTTGCCATCTGGTATAATACTACATTAATTCTTTTTTGGCATGCTTATTTTTTATTTGTGTGCATATGTACCTATCTATAGAGAGACATATATATGCTTTTCTTAAAAATAATGGTCATCATTTTCTGAGGCATGAAATCAGGTTAGTCTTACCTTTTTGGAGTGCTTTCAGCTGCAAGTAATAGCATTCTTGGCAGTGATGGCATAAATAGATCAGTGTTTTCTCTGACAGAGCAAGAAATCAGAGGGGAGGTGATGATTAGTGTTGAGTGACCCTCTTGGAAATTCCTGGCTGTCACCTACAACTGTCATGATGCTCCCTATGGTCTCTGGCTGAGCTCAAAGGAGAAAAGGAGTTACAGGGGCAGCACAGCATGACTGTCCTCTTGAGCTCAGCAATCTTCACTCACATCAGATTTGCCTCCTAGCTGCCAAGGAGGCTCGAAAGGGTAGGCTATAACCGAGCCTGCACATGAACTGTTCCCCAGGCAGACTGATGTCGTCAGGAGGGGCAATCAGAAAGGAATCTGTGTAACATTAATGGCATCCTGGCATCCTCTTTCCATCAGCTGTTCCACTGACTTTTCTTGTCAATTATAGAGACCCTTCTTTGTAGGCCAGCTGGTCCTGTATTTTGCTTCTGAGACAAGGGTAGAGGAGTATAAAGATTGTGGACAGTTTTTCTCCTTCCCAAAATAAATCAAGTATAAATTGCCAGACTCAGTCATCAAAACCATCAGTGTTTGGGTTAAGTTGACTTTTACTCTGTGGCTCAATTCATGTTGTCCAGATTCTGTGTATTGTGGCATTTGATGCTGAAGCGCTCTGGAGATGAGGAGCATTTCTATTTTCATGTCTCTTCCAACACTGCACGCATTGGCTGACATTCACTGTATCCCATGAGGTTCAATGTGGATGGTTTCCTTTGCTACTTTTCCTTTACCATTCAACTTCAAAGCAGCCTCAGCTTTTCTTCCCACTCACTCCTAGCAGTCAGGGGGCATGTGTCACACTTTCCATTATGATTATTTGTGTACATTTGATTGTTTTACTTCTACTACTAGAGTACAAAGATCTGAAAACAGCACTTGTCCTGTAGTTCATGGTATTCTCTTGGGGTCCAGCAAATACTTGTTTAGGAATGAAATGATGGGGCTGGGAATTTAGCTGAGTGGTACAGGGGCCTGCCTGGCAAGTGCGAGGTCATGAATTCGATCCCCAGCACTCTCCTCCCCCCCAAAAAAGACTAAGTACAGACCTTGATTTTTAAAAAAAAATCCTTTTGTGCACTCTAAGACTCAGTTTGCCTAAAAAGAAGAAGAAAGTGGACCGGGAGGATGAAGAGCAGGATCCCTCCCTGAAGAATGACAGCACTTATGAGCAACTGGATGTGGATGGGGACTCCTCCAGCGAGGTATCCAGTGAAATCAACTTCAATTTTGAGTATGCGCAGATGGAGGTGACCATGAAGGCACTGGGCAATAATGGTGAGCAAGTCTGCCACGCACTGTAGCGTCTTCTCAAGGTGGTAGATGAGACCTTTTAAATGTTAGCAAAGAAAGAAAGTCTTGATACTGCTGATCTTGGGAGGTTTCTTTTTTCCTGTAGTGAACTCTATTCTTTTGTGTGTCTGGTTATGGTAATTTATTATATTTATAAAAACATTCTTTTTGTCTTCACACACAATGAGGTACCTGCAGAATTTGGACAGACAAATAAAACAGTGTAGAACAGTATGTGAAGTGAGTTGTACCTTTTGCTCATTATCTTTCTACAAAACCATGTTCAGACCCAATGCAGTCAATACTCAACAGCCTGGAGCAGCAGCATGAAGAAGAGAAGCGATCTGCGCTCGAGCGCCAGAGGCTTATGTACGAGCATGAGTTGGAGCAACTCCGACGACGGCTGTCCCCTGAGAAGCAGAACTATCGCAGCATGGACAGGTTCTCCCTGCACTCGCCCAGTGCCCAGCAGCGCCTGCGACAGTGGGCAGAGGAGAGGTAGGGGAAGCTGGGGTCACCACTGTAACCATGCAGGGAATAGGGGGACACTTTGTCATTATTTGCAAAAGTTTTATAGTACAGTGCAAAGAACTACTTTGCATTGTTATTTTCTGTTTTTAAATGGGGAATTGCCAGTTTATTAAAACTTTCTTTAGGGCCAGGGACATAGCTCAGCAGCACAGTGCCTGTCTGGCTAGTGCAAGGTCCTGAGTTCAATTTTTGGTACAAAAAAAGAAAAAAAACTTTCTTTAAAACTGCCCATGTTAGATGCTGCTCCATTTTCAGTATATACAGCTTTTGGATTTGAATAAAGAAGTATACTTTATTATTGTATTATGCTTTAGGTTCTGAAGCTTGGGTAGATGCTTTTTTAAAAAGGAGAAAAAAAGAGAAAGTTGGTTGTCTGTACTGATTAGCTCAGGTAGGTAAACCTGTGAGATGAGATGCAGGTTGTAAGTTTGACCTCTGTGCCGGCTAATTAGCAGTGCACTGAAATCTCTGTTCCCTAGGTGCAGACAGCCTGTCGCTAAGCTCTTGCTATTCAGAGTCTGGTCTGCAGACAGCATCCAGTCAGCTGGAGATTGATAGAAGTGTAGTTTCCAGTTTCCACTTGAGACTTACTGAGTGAGAATCTTGAGTTTATCCAGAACCCTGGGTGACGCACAGGCGCAGTCAGGTTTGTGAAGTGCTGCCCTGGTCTCCAGCCAGCTTGCCACACAGGTGTGCCTGTGCTTGTGATGGAGCCCAGATACAAGCATGTGCATGGCCAGTGCCCGTGGTATGTTTCCTGCGTGCAAAAAGCACTGATACAGCTTGGTTTGCGGCTTGGCATTGCCATGTCCCGACTGTGTAGTTTTCTAAGTGCTACTTAGTGTGCTATGTCATCCCCACCTTCATCCTTCCTTTCTTCCTTCCTTCCTTTCTTTCTTTTTTTTAAAAGAGAAGCAACATTGAATAACAGCCTGATGAGGCTGAGGGAACAAATTGTTAAAGCTAATCTGTTGGTGAGAGAAGCTAATTACATCGCAGAGGAGCTGGATAAAAGAACCGAATATAAAGTGACCCTCCAGATCCCAGCCTCCAGCCTGGATGCCAACAGGAAGGTGAGGTGGTGGTTCGTGCCACCACAAAGATGCCTTGGGATGAGGTGGCTTCAGGGGTCACCATGTGATAGAGGCGTTGAAACACACTTTACCTTGCCAGGTCCTGCAGTTCACTCAGCTGTCTCAATTGTTTCTGAGCAGTGTCTCCTGATCAGTCTTCCCAGAGTGGCTCTCCCCTTCATTTTGTTACCATTCCACAGCCTGTCTCCCACCGTTTACTTAGTCATTTACTTACACTGTGTTGTTTTCCACTTGCTGGTAGATTGCTCTGTAAGGCTCTTCATTAGTTGTTTGCTGTAAGAGCACACATCTTTCTTATGTATGATGTAATAATTTCAGTAAGATTTTGTGGGAAATCCCTGCCACAGTTTTCTTGACATTCAGTCGTCTTCATCCTTCCCCTAGGAAGGATGTGGAAACCTTAGGTAGAATTTCCTGTTTGGGTGCCCACAGTGTTTACCACAGCAGAGCCTTGATCAGCCCATCTCAGAAACTCTCTTTTGACAGCGAGGATCACATCTTCTTTTGCTTATAACATCATAGCATTAAGGCCACTGTTTTGCACAGAGTAGATGTTTGGCAAACGTGGTATTGTCTTGAACATGGTGTCATCATTACTGTTCAGATAATTGTCTTCTGATGTAGACTCTGTAGTATGAAAAATTTCACTGGCTTAACAGTTTATTTTGTTTATTAGTATTTGAAGGGGAAAGTCTAGATACAGTGGGGTGCACAGACCAGAAATGGGAGGTCAGTCTTGGGCACACAGTCTGGGGCTCAGCTTCTTCTGGAAGGCAGAGAAATGCAAGATCTTTCATCCTGTGGAGTTTGAGTTGAAAGGGCAGAATTGTGAGCATTTTTCCTGTGAAGCCTGCCTGTTTCCCTTTTTGCTGTACCTTGCTGTGAGCTTTATTTGGAAGGAGAGCCGTCCATTTGGAAGTGGCCCATCACCGTGGGGCTTTGTCCTCCCGCCTACCTGCTCACACATTCCTAAGGCTGCTGTTGTGGCTGGCGAGACGTGGGGCACTGCCCGAGTGGACAGCTGCTCACTCACCTGTTCTCACTGCTATACAGATAGGCATTTCTAGATCCCGGCTGTTGGTCCTGACTAGTGTTCTCCCCGAGAGGACCAGCACCCGTTGGTCACTAATGGGCCTTTTGTACTTACTCACTGGCTGATGGGAGATAAGGTAGAAGGCCTTGTAGTATGTGGAAGAATTACAGTTTTTGACAAGAATTACTAAAGTCTTGCTTTACTATGTAAATTTTGTTTCTTTGAAATGATTATATGCAAGATACTATAAATAAATATAAATATCAGTGTATTTCACAATTTACTTATTTTGTTTTTATTTTTTACTTTATAATTTTAAAAAGTTTCATGAAATTTTTCCATTGAAAATATTTTGGTTTTGCTGATGTGGTGGTACATGCTACTCAGAAGGCAGAGCAGAAAGATTGTGAGCTCAAGGTTAGCCTATGCAAGATAGCAAGATTCTATCATAAAAGAAAAAAGTGCTGGGGTGTGGTTTAATGTGAATGCTCTGGGTTCAGTCCCAGGTACTACACAAACAAACACTCTGTGCTTTTATAAGTTAAAAGTACTTTAAAGCAGAATACTGCTTTTTGAGGTAAGAGCCATATAACTACCCTGTTTAAAACATTCATAATGTTACGCAACCAGCAACTGTGTCCAGATCTCTATTTAATAATAAATTCAAACTACAGACATTTGGAAACAGGTATCATTCATTGCTTACAAATGAGCAAATGAGACATTTTCATGGTTTCCTCTTTTAAGCACTTCATAGTTACTCTTTTAAGCATCAAACTAGTATGTATTCAAATAAGAAGTAAAATTTCACCCTTTTGAAAGTAAAAGATAGTTTCCAGACTGAGTTTCTAGCATCTTAGTAAATTTCACTTGTCTTTTGGAATGTATGACTCCCTGCTGATGTTCTGTGCTTGTATGATGGCTTCAATAAAACATTTTCATTTCATCTTCCTATAAGATATAGTATCAAATCTTTGGAGTTTAAATTTGTTTATGTCTAACTGCAATCAAAGTGTACAAGTAAATTGATGCTTAACCCTAAGTCACTACTGATGTTTCAGACTGTGCTTGCAGTTGGAGGTAAAGGATAAAGCTCGCAAGAGCTCTGGGAAACTTAGTCATGCTCAGCACAGCGCAGTGTGAGCCTCAGCTGGTGGCTCCAGATGCCAGTGCTAGCATCACCGCCAGCCGGTGTTCTGGCATCCCACATGGTTCCCTCCTCTTGTCTTTGCAGCGGGGCTCTCTTCTCAGTGAGCCTGCAATCCAGGTGAGAAGAAAAGGCAAAGGGAAGCAGATTTGGTCTCTGGAGAAACTGGACAACAGACTCTTGGACATGAGAGATCTTTACCAGGAGTGGAAGGAGTGCGAGGAAGACACCCCGGTGAGCTCCGGGGGGTGGGGGTGGGGGGCAGCCACCACCTGAACAGTCAAAAGGGAGAGTTCGCCTGCTCGTCTTGGGAAGTTGGTCCTTTTCCCAAAGTTGTTGGACTGTTTGTAGAGTTGAATTTTTAAGAGTCTTTCTGGTGTGTGTGTGTGTGTGTGAGTTTTTTTTTTTTTCCTTCTCCCCCATTCTCTTCTCCAAGTTTCTATCAGATTCTCCCCTTTCCATGAGGCCTTCTGTTGGCCCACATGCATCTGTGTTCTGTCCTGTCTGGGATTCTCTTTAGAACAGAGATCAGACTTATCATCCCTCTTCCCATCAACACCGAGCCTTGCAGATAACCTACAGTACACACTGTTCAAATTGAACATCACTGGTACCTTAGTGTTTGCACTATTAGCAACATTTCTTTTAAAGAAATTTTGACCCTAGAGTAGGTACCATTTTTGTGCTCCTCAATCTGAAGATCTCATTTAGTTCAGGCCTCTATATACTTGGACATATTTAAAATAGAAAGCTGGGGCTGGGGATTTAGCTCAGCGGCATAAGCACCTGCCTTGCAAGCAGACAGTCGTGAGTTCGATTCCTGGTACCGATAAAAAAAGGAAAAAGACAAAAAAATAAATAAATAAATAAAATAGAAAGCTGTGTCATGTATTTTCAGTGCTGCAGGTCTTGCTTCCACATGGAGTTCTTTATGTAGCTGCTTTTTGGTAAAAATGTTTATTTTTCTAGATTGTCATCCATAAAATTTTCATCAATTTATATACATATTGCTTAAAATTCTCTTTGCTGTTCTGTTTCTGTTTTAACTTAGAATTAAAACAACAAGAATAAATATAGATGCCAGCTGCTGTCCTGAGGGCCCAGTTCTCATTCGTAGCAGTGTACCTAATGATTTGGTAGGAGCAGTAGGTGTAGTGAAGAGAGCTTCGGTACCCTGACCACTTTCTAGGCAGTGTATGTTGTTCCTCTGTTTTTGTGGCAAGATTTCCACATGAAGTAGAAGCGATAAAGTTATTCGGATTGTTGATGGGATTTTCTCCTTGTAGGTAAAGGACACTGATTATCATTCTAAGTTTGTGTGTGTGTGTGTGAGAGAGAGAGAGAGAGAGAGAGAGAGAGAGAGAGAGAGAGAGAGAGAAAGAGAGAGAATAGTGAATAGTACAGTACAGTGCTGTGCTTGAAGTAGAACTCTATTTTAAGCCTGGGGTGGTGGTGCATATTTGTAATACCAGCATTCGGGAGGCTGAGGTAAGAGAATCTCCATAGGTTCAAGGCCAGCCAGCACTACAAAGTGAAATCCTGTCTCAGAGAAACAAAATAAAATAAAACGAAACTTTATTTTACCTGAAGAGATGCAAGACTCATGAAATACAGTGATGAAAGCTAAGTTTAATGACTTTGTTAGAGTGTACCTGAAAGCAGTCAGCTGAATGGCGGTGTTTGAGGTTGTGTGCCCTGTCTTTCAGGTAACCCGATCTTATTTCAAGCGTGCCGACCCATTCTACGATGAGCAGGAAAATCACAGTCTTATTGGGGTGGCCAATGTCTTCCTCGAGTCCCTTTTCTATGATGTGAAGTTACAATATGCTGTCCCGATCATCAACCAGAAGGGAGAGGTTGGCTTTCTCTCTGTGCCTCACTTTGGTGGAGAGCAGTTCTGGGAACAGTGGGTGGCAGCAGGATGTTGTTGTTACTGGCTTTTTATTAGCGGTGACAGTATGTATTTGTGTTATGGATATTGTGTTCCCATAGGGCTTTGTGGCGATTAATGCCAGTAGTCTGAGAGCAGAGCAACTCTTAGAAACTAACAATGGAAGAGCTGGGTATGGTGGCACAGTCCTGTAACTCCAGCACTTGGGAGGCTAAGGCAGAAGGATTAATTACCATGAGTTTGAGGCCTGCTTGGGCTACATAGTGAATTCAAGGCCAGCCTGAACTATTTAGTGAGACTCTCTCTGAAAAAACTAAAAAATAAAGCCTAATACCTGGTAGCTTTGCTTTAATGCAGAAGAGTTCTCTCAGGGCAGAGGAACCATACATATCCGGACAAGTGTCTGCTTTACCCTTGCTCCAGGTGGCAGGCCGACTGCATGTGGAGGTGATGAGAATCAGTGGGGCCATCGGGGAAAGGATCGCAGGAGGGGAGGACCCTGCAGAGGTCCTCTGTGAGAAGGAGACCCAGGAAAACAGACTGATCTGCATGGTGAGTCCCAGGGTCCTTCAGACGCAGCCCCAGTGGGGCTGTTCTGAAGATGGTGGTTATCTGGGTAAGAATTTCTAAGTTCTTTTTAAAATTTTGAAAATATCTCTCCAAATATCTGAGAGTGCCTGGTATTCTGGGGACCATATTTTGTCACAAGTCCCAAAGCATTGGCTCAACACTTCTAGCAGCTTCCTGTGAGATTTGAGTCAAGTCAGTGTTTTTTTCCTTGGGCCATTTAGCCCCACAATCATGTGAGTCCAAGCACCACACTGCTCTGTGAGAAGCCGGAGCTTCCATTTTCCCTCTTGCTGAAGGTTCGAGTCTGCCAGAGATGGAGACTGGAGACACTTACAGTGTGGCATCCACCCCAAGCTCTGCTGCAGCCACTCTTCAGCCTCCCTGCATGTTCTCTGTGCTCCTTACTGCGGCCCAGTTCCCCGTCCCTCAGCCCTCGGCCCTCACTGTGAGCTCACCCACAAATGCCATTCATGCCCGTGCTGAGTGTCACCAGCCAAATGGCATGTCTGATACAAGATGGGTGCAGCCAGGCTCCTGCTGTCCAGCAGCTCCACCCAGCCAGGCTCCTGCTGTCCAGCAGCTCCACCATTGGTACAAAACTGTAGGGGACACACAGAGTGAATGCAGGACTTCAGTGTTGGGTGACACAGCTCCTCTGAGAGTAGGCACCCGAGGTCATCCAGACAACAGGCTGGGAGGAAGATTCCTGGTACCCTAAGGGGAGAGGGGTTGGGTCTGTCCCACCTGTCTCTGGATGCTGAGTCTCAAGGGTAATTGTTGGCTTGATGGGCTCCTGACTCTGGCTTAGGTAGAGCTACCTGCCAGTTACCCAGCAGTGGGAGTAAGCACCCCTAGCTGGCCAACAGCTGTTGTTGGTTCAGACCTTGGCAGGAAGTAGTCAGAAAGGTTATGATGACAAGAAATCAGCAAGGACCAGTGAAATGCAAATGAAGAAGCCTCAAGCCTTCTTAGGTCCAGTCCTTTTCCGGCTCAGTGCATCTTTCTGGAGTTAAGGTTGGGAGTAGTCAGCTGCATTAGCTCAAGAGTGAAGGGGCTACTGCTGGTAGTGTTGGGCTCTTTTCCATGGGAACTCACTGTGACTCTAGTGAATTCTGACTCACTAAGAGATTTGTCTGCATTGTATTGTACTGAAGTTTAGAACCTCTCCTTTGAGGCGTAACAGGTCATTATTGTGAGGGACAAGTAGGTCTGATGACTCCATATGGCCCATTAAAGGTGGTGGACTAGTAAATGTGACTTGAAAGGTTGTCTTTTACCATCAGAATAAGGTCAGCCATTCTTTCTTCCTCCTTCCCTCTCTCCTCCTCTTTCCCTCCTGCTCTTTTTCCTTCTTCTCTTCTGCCTTCCTCCCCCCTCCCTCCCAACTATCCCTGCCTGTACTAGAAACTGGGTTTGGATTGTTGCCCTGAAGTTTCTCAGTCTTTCTTTGGAAATTTACCCTTTTTTGGTACTGGGAATTGAACTCATGACCTCAAGCTTGCCAGGCAAGCACTCTGTTCCCCTGAGCTATATCCCCGGCCCAGGAAATTTATCTTTTATCACTGAAAGAGTAGAGTATCTGAAATAACAACCTCTGTGGTAGACACTGGTCTCATTCCTGGCCCAGACTTGGAATCAGCCAATTCTCCATGGAGTCTGCTTGCTTCCAAGAGGAAGCACCTATCAGACACTGTGCTCTCCCACGTAACAGCCATTTGTGTAAAAAAAGACAAGGGCAAACAAACTCTATGACAGTAAACAAAGCGTTGGGAAAATGAGAGAAACCAGCCCAAAGACTGTTAAGATATGGGTGATGAGTCACTGGCTAGTAAAAGAATTCTGGATTTATTTTTCTGTATAAAAATACGCATGTAGCCGGGTGTGGTGGCTCATGCCTGTAATCCTAGCACTCTGGAAGCTGAGGCAGGAGAATCGTTGGAAGTTCGAGACCAGCCTGGGCAACAATAGTGAGCTCAAGGCCAGCCTAAACTGCTTAGAGAGACCCTGTCTCAAAAAAAAAAAAGACAAAAAAATATGCACATACTAATGTTTTCATTGATAGTAGGTCAAATCAGTGTTTGCAAGTCTCGGACACAGTGATGCCTGCTGCCCTCTGCTGGCTCCTGTCTCCAGCAGCCTAGGCTTGGACTGCGTGGTATTCTGACACCTTGTGGTGGTTTTGATTTTTGTACACAGAAACTGAAAAACCTAAACAACCAATATTCTGAAAATCTAAATATTCCTCCTTCCTGATACTCTTCTTTCTTACTTATTTCAACCTTAAAATTGAGATTAATTTCTATAGGAAAAAGTGGCTTCCAGGTGGAATTAAGTCACAAAGTGATGTGTGTTGAACATCTACTCAATTTCTGGTTCTGTTTCACTCATTTTCTCTCTTTTCATTGATGTGGTCAGTCCTACTCCGTATAGTAGGGTAGCTGTTAATACTCCTATTTCTTCCAGGAGAAAGCTAAGTCCAGGAAAACTGAGAATGTAACGTATTTGTACCGCATGCACACTAATAAGCCCCAGGTATTTTTATTACTCTATGTAACTCAAAATCTTGTCATCTTCCCATGTACCACATTGTCTCACCTTAAAGTGAAAACATTTTTTAAAATTTATTTATTTTATTTTGAAGGTAGTAAAATACAACAGAGCAAGGCAGAATAAAGCCAATCAAGACAATGCAGTGAAATTGGTACAGCACTTCCCAGCAGGTTGCCGGATAACAGTAATAGGTACCATAGTGTATCTCGTTACCTTCACAGTGGTTGTCCTTTCAGTTAGGTATAGCAAAATCAAACCAAATACAGAACATCCTAAAACCTATCCAGACAGAGTATTGAATAGAGCAATACAATTAATCAAATCAAAGCAAAATAGTGATAACAATATTTGCCTTCAGAGAGACAGTAGAAGGGGACCCCCCATATTTGCTATAACTTTTGTTCTTAAGCCTTAGCCATGTTAGCCAAATTCATGTCATGGAATGGTGTTGATGTACAAGAATGTTGTTCTTCTGAAATGATGGTGATACCCTCATATGTTTTAAGAGGGCAGAATTTAAGTGCACTTTTCATCCTCTAAGTGCTTTACAGCAGCACCTCATTATCATGTCATTGTCACCCCATGTCATGTCCCTCATTGAAAGGCAGAGTCCTGGTCACCATTCAGATGCAAGACTAAGGTTCTAGCAAGAAGGGGATGTGCCACCATAAACCAGCACTTAGTGCTGTAGTCAGCACAGAACTCCTCGGAATTTTCTAATTAAAACACAGAGCCTTGTTTTCCTTTCAGGTTAAAATCCTCCAAGCCACTGGGCTGCCCCAGCATCTGTCCCACTTTGTGTTCTGCAAATACAGCTTCTGGGATCAGCAGGAGCCGGTGATGGTGGCACCAGAAGTAGACACCTCTTCCTCCTCGCCCGTCAGCAAGGAGCCGCACTGTATGGTTGTCTTTGATCACTGCAGCGTGAGTTTGTTTTCTAGTCCAGGTCAACGTTCAAATTACTCATGTGTAACCAAAACCAAAAATACTTATTTCTTTGAATAATTGTGCCCATATGTCTGAAGCAGAGTTTCTTAGGGTAGAGATGGAGTCAAAAACTAAAGTGTCAGTGCAGTAATTCACCCATAATCAAAGGTAAATTTTGTGTTAAAATTAAGAGAAAAGATAAGAAATCACTTTATTGGCTGGGTGTGGTGGCAAACATATGTAATCCCAGCACTTGGGAGGCTGAGGCAAGAGGATTGCTACGAGTTTGAGGTCAGCCTGAACTCAAAAAGACCCTCCCTTCTGAAAGAAATTCACTTTACCTGCCACTATGTTACTGTTTCATTTAGTGATGGTGCCGCTCTTCATAGTGCTCCGTTTGCTTCAGAGAGTTACAGTCCTTTTCCCTGTACCTAGTAACCAGCAGACCCTGGAATGGGAGGTGTGGACAATCTGTTGTCTTAGACAATCTTTTCTGCTGCTATACAGCTGAGTGAGATTTCTTTCTCATTTGTTTAAAACAGAGAAATATTTTTAGTGCATTAAAGATGGACAGAGGGAAGTACTATTAGAGATGAGAAATTCCATGTTTTCATTAATAAATACAATCCTAATTGCAAAATGCTGTCTTGTAAAGATAGGTGGGAGAGTTTTTTTTTAATTAGGTGATTTTTTGCACTAGTATTATCTCCTATATCTCCTATTACGACAGATAGTTAACGTCTTAAAAACTGTTTTCACAACATACTACTACCTTATTACATGTATAGTAGTAACTTTTATATCAAGACATATGTCATTATAATACTTAATGAAGTTATTCTTTTAAAAATAGCTACCAAAATATTGCCAACAAAATAGATTATATTGCTAGTCTTACGTACTACACTTTCAAAGTGAAAAGTTCAAAATTGATAGAGTTACAGAGATAACCTGTGTTCACCAATTGAGTTCTTTCCAAGATTCTGGTCACAAACAATTAGATGAGAATTGAATTAAATTCAGTAGGTAAGTAGGTTCAGTAGGTGTTGACCTATGGGGAAATTTGGTTTAGTTTTTGTCTAATTTGGTTTGTGACCAGAATCGTGGAAAGAAGTTTGTAAATCAAGACACCACTGTATCTTTTTTTTTTTTTTTTGTACCAGGATCGAACTCACATCCATAGGCTTGCCCGGCAGGCACTTATGCTGCTGAGCTAAATCTCCGGCAGCCACTATATCTTTACAGGGAAGAAACTTAGACCATCTGAGCATTCCTTATGGGTTTTCGATGACAGCTCTGTTCCATATCAAAAATATTTTGTTTTCTATTTCTTTACTCTCTGATAGAATTAAGCACATGATGTCTGGTGTAAGTAATCATATGATTACCAGAAAGTGCTTGCTATTTTGTAATGAACTGTTGTGTTTCCAGGAGTTTTCTGTTAACATTACTGAAGACTTTATTGAGCACCTTTCGGAAGGGGCCTTGGCAATTGAAGTGTATGGACATAAGATGAATGATCCTCGGAAAAACCCAGCCCTGTGGGATTTGGGAATCATCCAAGCAAAAACACGGAGTCTTCGAGACAGGTGAGTTTTAGGAACTGATTGGATTATAGTTATAATTTCAAAAAAAATACTAGATTCCTACTGCCATTTTTAAGTCAAGGTTTCTATCTCCTGAGCAATTCCAGGTCCTAGGAATAGATAGTATCTCCAGAATATTAATCTCATAGTAAAACTTCCTTAGCAGAGTGAACTTTGAAAAGTGTTGAAAGAAAGTGAAGTGTGTAGCTGTTTCAAAAGAAATAGTTTGGCTGTGCTTTGGGCTGCATGCCTGTAATCCCAGCACTCTGGGAAGCTGAAGCAGGAGGATCATAAATTTGAGCCAAAACTGAGTAGTTTAGGAAGACACTGTTTCAAAACTAAAACTAAAAATAAATTGAGGACAGAGATGTAGCTCAGTGTGAAGGCCCTGGTGTAATGCCCAGTATGGCTAAAGGAAAAAGGGAGAGAAAGGTGGATGAAGATCTTTGGTAGCATTTATTTTCACTCTGCCTGTAACTCACAGTTCAGTGAGAAGAGAAGGTAGGCTGGTTTGTTGATTTAAAAGGGAATGACTGAAATAGAAGATGTTATCACTTTCACCTAATTATAGATGAGGACCAGATTTTCTTTTTCTTTTTTTGCATTTAGAATATTTTAGCAAACCCTAAATGAGGAGGTGAGATTTTTATCTTGATTCTCTTATTGGCCCGTTTGTGAAGCTGGCGAAGGGTATGGTGCTCCCTTTCTCTATCCGTGGGAAGATAATCCCTGCACTTGATTCTGTACATCTGATTAGAATGTTCCAATTTTTGAGTAACTGCTTTGAAGCAGATTAGTCATCGTATCTTTCTGAATGGAGTAAACCATCTCTAGTCCTGATGTTAAGTTAGTTTAACTTTGCTTTTCATTATATTTACTGGTATATGCATTGAATTACAACCCATTCCCCTGACTTACTGTTTGGAGGTCATTTTCATTGCTTCGTTTCATATGTAGGACCCTAAGACACCTGCAAACAAAATATATGAAACAAAAATATATGATTTTCAAGCACTACAACTATTTCCTAGGTGGAGTGAGGTTACCAGGAAGTTGGAATTCTGGGTTCAGATCTTGGAACAGAATGAGAATGGTGAATACTGCCCCGTGGAAGTGATTCCTGCAAAGGATGTCCCAACAGGAGGCATCTTCCAACTCCGACAGGTAATGAGGTTGCCAGTGTTCACATTAGATCTTTGGCACCTTAATATTTAATACTAGATTTTTTTTTTTTTGAATGTGCATGGAGTTGAACTCATTGCTTCACACATACTAGCCAAGTTCTCTACTACTGAGCTACTCTTTCATCCCTTAATATTGGACTTTTTTTTTTTTTTTGTACTTTTGAGGCAGGGTCTCACTATGCAGTTTAGGCTGGTCCTACACTTATCTTGTAGCCTAGGCTGACCTTGAACTCCCAGCCTTCTTTGCCACCAAAAGTGTTGGTGGCAAAGAAATCTAGACTGGCCAAGTTCATTCTCATATTACATTCTTGGGTTTATTAGCAAAAGCTTTTTTGAAGGATGTGTATTGTATCAGAAACACAACTTACCACTTTGCACTTGCCAGGCAGGCACTGTAACGCTGAGCTATCTATACTCTCAGCTCTTAAGGATGTGTGTCCGAATCAGCAGGCTGGAAAATATGCAAGGTCTGGAAAGGTTTTTCCTGTACAGATGGCAAGAAGAAAGACCCTGTGTCTGAGGACTGGGGATACAGCTTAGTGGCACAGTGCTTGCCTGGCAAGTGTCAGGTCCTGAGTTTGATTCCTGGTAACAAAACAAAACCCTGCGGTTGAAATTGGGTCCCTCTGAAGTCACATGTAGAAGGAATTGGGAAGTAGGAAAACAGTTGCAGAAGCGTGTGTCAGTGAGTTAAGAGGCCCTTGAGCACTGGGCTCAACTGGGCCTAGCATTTGAAAACTGGGACATTTTGCTTTTGAACATGAATGAGGCAGAAGGCAACTGATTAAATTTAATCATATGTAATCGAGATAGGTAGAATGATAAAATATCAGCAGTCACAGGAAGTTCACTGCAGTGGTTGAAGTAGACTTTTCAAAGCTTTTCTAGGAACAGAAATCCATTCCCAACCCTTACTTTTAGTCCCTTTCCATATTCCAAATCTTTACTCACTGTGCGTATGTTACTTTTCACACCTTCATAGAAGGTCACTTTCTGGCTTAGGCGAATTTAAAAAAAGATAGCTTATTGAAATAATGTTTTAAGACCATTGAAATATTTTCTGAGGGATTTTTTTTCCCCACAAAATCTCAAATGCATAGTCTTTGGAAAATATTGAATAAGAAGACATCTGTAACCCATCCATTGAAATGTAGCCTGATGGGATCAGTGACTACCTAAGTAGATTTTCCTGATTGTGCTGGGCTCTTGGGAGCTAAAACTGCTAGAAGAAGACAAGAGTAATTGACTTGAAATCAAATATTCAAATTTTAATTTTTAAATGCTGTTTTTTCTTCCTAACATTTATAAATCAAGTTCGAGGCCAGTAATTTGGGAATACAGGGAATTTATAATGTTCCTTCATTGTACATACACAGTCACACCAGATTTATTCTGAAAACTTGCTTAACTAGAAACAGCTTCTTTCTGGTCAGTTCATTTTGCAGCTTAGTTTAAAACAATGTGTAAGCAGCATTAGCCTTTATTTGTAACTTAAATTGCCTATTTTTAAAAGTAGATCACACTATACTGACTGGTCATCTGATCTTTAACTTAATATGTTATATATGTTTCTTAATATGTTATATATGCTTCTCTACAGAATGATTTAATAACTATGTAGTGTTTTATTATATATGTCACAGTTTAAACAGTCACCAATATTAAACATTTAACTTGTATCTGAATTTTTTGTTATTCAAAGTGCTTTTAGATTCTTTCCATGCATGTTTTGGTGTCTTATAAATAAATAAAATATATCTCTAGAAAGCTACATTGCAGAGACAAAGGATACTTATGTTTCCAAGTCATATTGCCCTGTAGAGAACTTATACCAGTTTAAATTCCTGCTCTGTAGTGTATGAAATTGCTTGTCTTGTAATGCTTACGTGGAAAAAGCATTATCCCTTTTCAAATATAATTGCTACTTTAGCATATGAAAATAAAGTTGTATTATGCTTAGTTTAATTTGCATGTATTTGATTATCAATAAATTGAACTCTTTTTGTTACATAGCTGTTTGCATTTCCTGTTAGAATGTTTTCTTTTAGTAATTATTTTTATTGAAGGATATAAACTCGGGCCAGGGATTTAGCTCAGCGGCATAAGCGCCTGCCTGGCAAGTGCAAAGTCATGAGTTCAATCCCCGGTACCGCAAAAAAAAAAAAAAAAAGAAATATATAAACTCTTTATTCTGTATATTTTTGTTTGCTTAAAAGGGAAATAACTAGTTTTTCTAACTACTTTTGAGGAATTTTTTTTGTTTTTTGGTTTTTTTTTTATACCATGGGTTGAACTTAAGACCATGGGCTTGCAAGACAGGTGCTTATGCCTCTGAGCTAAACCCCTGACCCTTGAGTTTGTATTTTAGTGTTTAATGTTTATAAGGTACAGTGAGAGGTCTCCAGACTTAGATGTTTTGCTCAACATGAGCCTGTAGGGGTCTCTCTAACCCAAAATTCAGAAATCAAGAGAGTAATTTTTAAGACTCTTGGTCCAGGGGCAGTCCCGTCGAGTTCGAGTTGAAGTGAAGTCTGTGCAGGAGTCTGGGACTTTACCACTGATCGAAGAATGCATCCTGTCTGTTGGCATTGGCTGTGTGAAAGTGAGGCCCCTCAGGACCCTAAAGACGTACGAGATCTTCCATGTAAGTCTCAGTGGCTTTTCCGTGCTTGTTGAAAGCCAAAGCCAGACCAGAGAGTCCTTTAGGAGTGGTCAGAACACTGATTCTATGACCCGTTCTGTATTTGCCTTGGACATCATTTGTAATGCAGTGCATTTGGGAGGATCACTGTGGCCTGTAACTTGCGTTGCCCTACAGGCAAGCAGAGGGTTAAAATTTCTCAGCCTCCACAAACACCCCAGTACCTACAGTGATTACCTCCCAGCACCAACCACCTGGGCAGAAACCCCCCACTGGCTTGTAAAGCCTATTTGCCAGCAGGTGTCTGATTTCCCCTGGTGAGTGGACTATGAGCCCAGCAGGGAGAGCATTGTACTAGCTTGGAAAAGGTCAGACAGTGCTCTTCACTTTCCTCTGAGAAGCTCATAGTTTTCCTGAACTTCCTGAGGACTGGAAAGCTCAAGAGTGCAGTGAGGGAAAGTGGTGGTGGGGGGGCATGGTAATTAAATTAAGCAAATAAATTCTGGAGGAAGAATTCAGATTATATAGCATAGCCTGATTATTGGATAAATACTTACTTTGCTTCTATATGATGTAATCTTTCGTTTAGGAGGAAGAAGAGGACATGGACAGCTACCAGGTAATTGAGCACCTGTTAATCTCATCAAATCAACTTGATTAAAGTACATAATTACACATTCCAGGATCTTGCTGTACGGTTACTTAATAATTAAGCAATTTGATTCAAATAGTGCTTTTTCTTGAAGAAAAACAGAACAAAGAACTATGAGTATTGTTTCTCAGGCCAGGAAGGAAGGTGTTGAGGTAGGACATACCCAAGATGGGTGTCCTTTCCACCAGGCTCCCCAGATCCCTTTCCCCAGCTGCACATCCAGGCCCAGGGTCAGCGCTTCACCCGCAGCGTGCATCACACCTAGATCTTTCCATACATGAAGTCAGAACCCCCTGAATGCCCTTTTTCTGGAGTTATGCAGGGTTTTTGTGGATTTTAAGTTTTCCCTTCCTTTTGTTTTTCTAATCTGCCAGATTTTGTTTATGTCTGTGAAGTTTCATTTTGTTAGTCATCACTTACGACTGTCCAAGCTCTTCGGAGCCTGATTATGTCATCCAGGCTAGTCACTCTCCTGGTTTTGCATCATTGTAATTTGATAGAAATGTCTGCCTTCCTATAAGTCACTGATAAAGACATTGTACCAGATGGGGTTAGATGCAGAGTCGTATGGCACAATAAGAGAGACTTCTTTCAAGCTGACATTATTCCATTAATCACTCTCTCTGGATGTGGTGTTTGAGTCCTCTGTGATTTCACCCAAGTAGATGCATTGCATGTTTCTCCATCTTGTCCACAAGAATGTCATAGGCTATTTGGTTAAGTGCCCTGGTGAAACCCAGACACTCGACATCTGCAGCATTCCACTGACCTACACAGTCTCGTAACCTCATTACAGAAGGAAATGAGGTAGGATGGGTCTGCTTGCAGGTGTTGACTGGTAGTTGTTAGTCTGTGGATAATATCCCATCCTCTCACTCATCCCCAGCCCCCCAAAATACACACAAAACAAGGGAGAGAAGTATTGATAAGTTGTTGTTTTCAGAAGCCTAGCGGATCACACACGTCACAGGAGGCAGGAGTCATGAGTTTTAAAGGGTTCTTTTGGTGGTTCTGGGTATATAAATCAGAAGACTGTTGCTGATGGCTTGTGAGTTCCATCCAGCAAAGAGAATAGGAAGATCTCTACTGTGAGTGCTTGGAGTTCTACCCCTAAGTCATTAGAAATGGGATACTCTTTGAAAAACATGGCCACTCAACAAAATAATACTTTTACTTCTAAGTGTTTCTGTTCTGAATTATAGTAGTGTCACCTGGCAGTGCTAGTGAGGAAATGACTGTACAATACTTAGGCTTTTAAATCATGTTAGAGGAAGATAAGATAGAGCATCTGTTTCAGATGTACCATCTCAACACTGTATTGAATATGGTTTCCCTTATTCTGTACCAGGATCGGGATTTAGAGAGACTACGTAGAAAATGGCTCAATGCATTAACAAAACGTCAGGAATACTTGGACCAGCAACTGCAGAAGCTTGTCAGCAAACCTGGTAGGAAGAGCAGGTTGCATCTCCCTCCCCAAGTCAGTATAGAGCTGACCCTATCTGGGGCCATTTAAGTGAAGAACCAGATGGATGTGCCAGCAGTGGGCATGGCAGGCCTTTTAAGAGAACATGTACCCTGTGGGAATAATGTTTTAGTATAGCCCCCAACCCTAAGCAAAGAGAGAATATAGTGGGTGAGCCAACACTGCCCTTCAGGATACCTTGAAGAAGGTGCTGATGTGGCCTGTCCGAGGGGTGTGAACACTGCGACTCTGGCCTGATGGCCTGTGCAGCCATTGCCTCAGCAACATTCCTTTCTTGCTGCTGGCTGTGTCATCAGCCAGGAGCCCACATAGGGCAGGTTCAGTCCTTACCAGGGTTGGTGGAGTTTCGGATCTCACACCCACTCCCGATGTTCTAGATAAATCGGAGGACGATGCTGACCGGGAAGCGCAGCTCCTGGAGATGCGGCTGACCCTGACCGAGGAGCGGAATGCCGGCATGGTCCCCTCTGCAGGCAGCGGCATCCCCGGTGCTCCTGCAGAATGGTAGGGTGTGCACCACGGGGCAGAGCGTTTGCCAGGCTCCTGCTTCCGTGAGGTTTCAGGGGCTGCAGTTAATGGAAGACTCAGGATAACATGAGGACAGGGTTGTTTGAGCTTAAGGAACTGTTAAATTACTTTCATGAGTTGAATAACTATGGCCTAAAACTGTTTTATTAAATAACATTTTTATTGGCCAAAGTAATTATGCTTTCTGAGAACCCAAATCAATATTTAGTACCACTGCATTTGGTATTAAAAATAGTTGGCATAGTAATTAGTGGGATCACTCATCCCTGCACAAGAATGCTTGGTTGCAAGAGAAGTGCCTCCCCACCAGTTTTCGGTTCTGGTGCTGGCTTAAACTTTTCTGTCAGCAGATGTCCTGTGCCTCTTCATAACAGAACTAGTAATTTAAACCACATGATCAGCATATCAGTCACCAAGAAAGTGTGTTGGGCCAGGGTTCACTCGAAACAGCGGATCCTCTGAGGCTAGGTTGTGGTGTCACACGCATGGGATAGCAGGTGTGGTTCAATCTCAAGCCATCTCTCCTGTTAAGTCATTGGGAAACTGTGTGCCAATCTGTTGCCTGGCCTATGGCAGCCCTGAAGGTTCTGGGGTGTGGCCCAGTGTCTGAGCTGCAGAGGGTCTGCTGTGTTTTGAGGTGCCACCTATCTTTCATGTTTCAGGACCCCAGTGCCTGGGATGGAAACCCACATTCCTGTTATATTCCTTGACTTAAATGGTGAGTTGGAGGGGGTTTCAAAGGCTCGCCCAATAGGTCAGTGTGTGGTAGTGCTTAGACAGTGACCAAGTATGTTGTTAATTACACTGTCACCCCGAGGTGACAGTTTTGTGAATGCCCATACTGTGTAGAGACTGGGAAGTTTGGAAGTCACCACTTAACAGCTTCATGGCTGTGTTCTCTGTCTTGTTGCTCCAGACTCTGGGCCATGGGTTTTCTATGCTAAAATTATTTTCTTCTATAATTCTCAGGGAAAGACTTTGCCCTGCAAAGGACTGATAACTGCCAATAACTACGTGGCACATTTTCATAGCATTATTTAGTGCATTTCTCACCTTTCCTGTGAGTCCTTGTGCATTCATAGCTGCACTGCCCATTTTTAGGAAAACAGCTTGTTTTACACACTCACCCCACGCATGCGCACGCACATGCACCCATAATGTCTGACTGTAGGAGGAAAATAGAAGTGGAAAAGTAGGTAAGGGATCTCAAGGTAAGGTGAGTGTCAGCAGTGAGGTTCCTAAGCTTCTGTGGGGGTCCTATGTATTAGAATGGATGCCCCTGAGCAGACAGCTTCTGTCCTTGGTTGGGAACTGAGTTGTGATGCCAAGGGGGCTTCACATCCACTGAGGTCATGATGGGTGCACAAAGTTAGAGAATAAGATGGGGCCTTTCCCCCTCTCTAGCCACCTGCCAGGTTGGGATGTTTTGCTTTTTAGATAATGCAGGACTCTGTCCTACTTCCTTGGAGACAGGGGTGACTCTGGCCTGTTCGTATGTTAGTCTTCCTAGATAGGGAAGGGAAGGGAGTGGTGCCTAAAAAAGTAGCCAAAATGAACCTGGGTGTTTGAAGAGATAATCAGGACTCTGTTGAGCACTACATACATCCTTGGTCCACCCATGCCCACTTACTTTTGATGCCCTGACAAACTTAGACAGATGAGGAAGTGGGTGGGACCGAATAGCCACAGGGCCATGGTGTAGTTTCTAACTAGGGCTGCCAGTTTCTGGCTCATGTGGCCAATTAATCTTTTTGTTGTACTTAACAGTCAGGTAACTGGAATCGGTCTCACTTATTCTTTTTTTCAGTGCACTCAAAGGTGGGAAATTTGGGTTGTACTCCCATCATTAACATTTATGAGCAGACCCTGGGTAACCACTTAGCTATCTTGGCTTCATTTGCCTTCCACATAAAGCAAGGCATCAAGGGAACAGCTTGGCTAAGATAATTGCTCAGTGTACTCTCTATCTCTAAGATCTATGAACTGTTAAATGGTCATCATCAGTATCATGTGAGATTGTGGAGCAAAAGCAAATGAAATTTGAAATGGAAGAATCTTGATAATACGGACAGGAAATTTAGCTGGTAGGAGTTATCCTTGGAAATGATCTCTGTATTCAATGGAATCTCTTTGCTCTCAGCTGATGATTTCAGCTCTCAGGATAACCTCGATGACCCAGAAGCTGGTGGATGGGATGCTACCCTGACTGGGGAAGAGGAGGAAGAGTTCTTTGAGCTGCAAGTTGTGAAACATCATGATGGGGAGGTAAATCAAGCAGAACTTGTGAGGATACAGTAACAGAAAGTTCCCTTGACCTCTCTAGAAGCCCTTGGAAACAGTCGGCAGGATAATCATTCCAGCGCTAGTGTTTCTCAACACATATACACTAAAGACTTTCACTGACTTCCAGAAAGAATAGAGCTCAAATGTCACATTCCACCACTCACCCCTTCTCCTCACCCCCTCCTGGTGGAGGATTTGAGCCTGTGTGGTTGCTCAGGAGCTCTGCTTTGTCCTCAGCACTCAAGGGTGGCAGGGCAGGGGATGCTGATGGCACCATGTTTGAGATATGCTTTGAAATTATTTTGCAAGGACTTCTTAAAAAGGTGGAAAAGCACAGAGACAGGCAAATGGCCATGTCTTGATTTTAATGGCTGAATCTGTGTGATGGTAAATCCAGGGCATTTATTCCCTTGACTTGCCTGTGTTTGAAAAGTGATACAACAAAGTATTTACGGAAAGAAAGCTGGCTTGCTGCTTTGATGATGGCACATCATCACTGGGTAGTGTTTCAAGGATGCAAAACTTGAATCTAACACAAGAATACACTGCCACCAGCCCTGCACCCCAGCAGAAAGGGCACATAGTGTGGCAACCAGGTTCCCACGATGCGGCAAGAAAGGCTATGTCTGTGTTTCGGGTTAAAGGGGTGTGGCAGCTGAATGCGGTTTATCGTCCTGGGCTGGGAAAATGGAAAAATTTGTTGGTATATATATTTTTTTGTCTTTTTCCTTTTTATCGGTACCAGGGATCGAACTCAGGACCACGCACTTGCAAAGCAAGCGCTTATGCCGCTGAGCTAAACCCCTAGCCCCATGGAAAAATTTGAATGTGGACTCTAATAAATAATAGTATTGGGTTGATGTTAAATTTCCTAAAAATGACAGTTACCTCTCCAGCTTACTCAAAAGTAGTTCAGGAAATCTAATTGTATGTGTGTGGCGAGAAAAAGAAGTAAAAGTAGCAATAAAAATTCATAGTGTGTGGGTCTTGAGGAAAAGTGTTGTAGAGTATGCTGCACTGAATTTTTGCAATATTTTTTGATGTTTGAGCATTTGTTTTTTAAAAAAAAATGAAAGCACGCAAACCAGCCAGTGGAGTGTCATGCTGTGTACTGCCAGACTAAGGTGGCTGAGGCCACATGCTCGCAGTCCATGTCTTTCCAGTGCGGCACTGGGTTCTAGCCCTTCCCGCGGTGGGTCTCTGGTGAGAGGTTTGGTGCTCGGAGAGGAAGGCAGAGCTGTCTCCTATCTCATCTACAGGCCAGAGCGGAGGCCTCCTGGGACTCCGCGGTACACAGCTGCCCGCAGCTCAGCAAAGGCACGCCGGCGGACGAGCGCGTGTTCCTGATTGTGCGCGTGACGGTGCAGCTCAGCCACCCTGCCGACATGCAGCTGGTCCTACGGAAGAGGATCTGCGTCCAGGTTCACAGCCGCCAGGTGGGGCTGGGGTTCTCACTTAGGCCATGACTTTAACCACAGTCCGACCTCTGGCAAACACAGGTGGCAGAGCACTGAGCTTCGCTTTCCAATGACTATTAACATCCCGTCACTGAATGTGTCATCGACTTTCTCCTAGACAGTACTGAGTTGGCACCCTGAGTTTCCTAGTGGACTCACGCTGCAGCCATTCTTTTGAGTGCCTCACGGCCCTGTCCAGGGCAAACTCAGTGGTGTGGTAGTTGCCTTTTTTCCAGGGTCCTGCAAGAGGAGGCGAATGTTGCTAGCAGGTCAACAGTTAGATCTCTGGCAGCTTCTACTTACTCTCCTCTTTACAGGGCTTTCAGTCCTCGAAGTCTTTGGTTCCTCTTCTTGGCTTTGGGATAAAAGACAAAGGAAGCAGTCTGGTTTTCAAGGAGCCAGAGTGTGTGTGCGCCTGAGGGCTCGCATGAGAATTGGACAGAAGGACAAAGTATTCAGTGCAGGTAGCCGTGTTCAACTACACTGTACAGACAGGGTGTGGACAGGAAGAGGAGGCGGCAGCTGTGTCACGGGGAGGGTGAAATGCATATGCAGAAGAGGGAGGAGGAGGATAGGCAGACTGGGGAGCTAGGTCGATGGTGGATACCCAAGAATGAGGCCCTTCATGTGGCTGTGGTTGGATTTTGAAGGCCCCTGTGCCGTGTGGAAGGGTTTAATAGGAGGTATTTAGGGAGGAACGTAAACTTCCACTGTTCCTGGTTTTGTCAGTGAAAGAGTTTGGGAAGTTGACTCTGAGGATCCTACTTAACTGTCTTCCTCCCTTTCATGAAGCATTATTAGTACTAAATCCAGGGCAGAGGAAAAGAAATCTTTTCATTTAAAAGAGCACAGTCTTGGTTGACAGAACCCTAGATGTAATCTCCACCCCTGAAAATTAATCTTTAGTTCTAAATGCCACACTAATATCAATCTCAGAAATGAAGCCTGGCGATAATGCTGTTAAAATTGCAGCTGTTTAGTTTGCTGGTCCAACATCAATAAAACCCAGGTCCCAGGGTTAGGTGCAGATGTCCATGGTGTGCCTTCTATTCCTTCTTGCTGTCTCCCTGTCTCGTAAGTCTGGAAGGGACTGAAACGGACACACTGCTCTTGGAACACACTTTGCAGCAAGAATTTCCATTTCTGAATCAGCTGTCCTGGCAGCTAGGCCCTGAGCCCTGCCTGGCACAGCCACCAGCCCTGCACCATCGCCACAGAGGGACACACTGGAGTGACCCATTCTCACTGTCTGTTTATTTTAATAGAAGGATAATAAATTGCCACATTTCATCATGGTTGAAGTGCTTTGGAAATATGTGAAAGTTTACCATTTTCTCTGTCTTAGACATCTCATTCTTAAAAAATTGCTGCTTTACTCTCAGCCTTAGATGTTTAATTCTTTAAAAATTGCTGCTTTATGGTAAGAAAAATTATTTCCACAGTATTCTAATACATGCCATTCTGCATTGTTAACTTTGTGCTGTTTACAGATAACAAAAAGCAAGGTAGCAGTGCCCTCCACGCTGCCCTCCACCACCCGTAAGGTTGTATAGCTCAGCCCTGACTCTGGCTCAGCATAAGGCCAAAGTCAAGGCAGCAAAGGATGAAATAAAATAGACACTCTTTACATTCTGAGGAGCTCAAAAAGTTAACTAAATGTAATTGAATGGGAAATAAATTATTGTTAAGTAGGCTTGTGAAATTATGTATTTTTAAGATCAAATGAATTGATTTTTCTGTTTCCTTGAGGGGTTTTTGCATGTTTCTGCTTTCCCTTGTGCACAGGGAAGAAGGCTCTGGACCTTTTTCTTTTTCCTCCTTATCTTTATTCACCAATTGCGTTCTGCCCCCACTGCTGCTTTCTTCAGCCTCCAGGATGTGCAATCTTAGCAGCATCTCCAAATGAGTCATCTATGCATTAATTCAACAGTTCAATTCCTAACTGTGCAAAGAGCACAGTCAGCATAAACAATGACCAGGCACTCTTAAATCATTCTTCATAACGATCCTGTGTTGGTCAAGAATTTAATGCCCAGACTTGTCAATATGCATAGTGCAAGCTATCATCGTGCTGGGGGAAGAAAGTGAGAACATCACCAGTCTTTGTGTCCATCCGAGTTGGAAGGTCATCGTGTTTCTTTTGGTAGCATGGAGGCAGAGTCTATCCAGATGCCTGGTGCCAGGTTTCAGGCTTAGGAGCTGTACTTTCCACGCGTCGGGAGCGATGCCTGTCTGTCACGTGTGGCACGCATGTGCTCAGTTGGTTCCGTGCACTGAGATATGTGTTGGAGAGACACGGTTGTCATTTGGCTGGAGTAAATGCAGTGTCCTTTATGCTGCCTTCTGTCAATGGAAACTCAGTTTGAGAGATGAAAAACTTTATCTTCTATTTTGTATTTTCTAGGGTTTTGCTCAAAGTCTCCTAAAAAAGATGTCTCATCGAAGCTCTATTCCTGGCTGTGGAGTGACCTTTGAAATTGTCTCCAATATTCCAGAGGTGATGGATCACATGTGTTTTGAATTCACTAAAAATAAGCACTTAAAAAGGGCTAACCCCCTGAAAAGTCACCTGTCTGAGAAGTATATTTTAATAAAAAATGAATACTTAAGGAAATGCTATTGATTTTTTTCATGAATTTCCTAATCTTAACACATAGTGCAGTATAGTTATGGCCTTAATGTTTCACTTCAGTATTTTGGTAGATAACTTTCTACTGGGAGAAGTCACACAGGGACCTGCTCATACACCACCATCCCTGCCCTGTAACTCTCATTCCAGGCCTTTGGATTTGTTAACTGACTCTGTTGAGTGAGCACTAAGTGGACAGTGTGTTTTAATACAGAGGCTAGGTTTTAAAAAGAAAGTAGGTTGATCACAGCATGTAGGTTTTGAATTAAATTTCTCATGTTGTAAGATACTTTCTTCTTTCCAGAAGGGTTAAATAATAACCCTATTTTTTTCCTGACTTTTCAGTCAGACTTACATAATAATGATTAACTAATTTTAATTTGGAGCCTCCTGAACATTTACAAATTAAGTTGTTTGCAGAGGGACTAACTGAAAACCTTGGTCGGTAATAATCTGTGTGCTTCATTCACTGGGAGGATTAAAGTGAGTGTATGCATGTTTAGCTGGAGACTTACTGTCTAGTCTCAGAATTTTTTTCCCCAGAATTTAAATATTTTGTTTTCCAGTTGTTTTTCATCTTAACTCTGTAGACTTTTTTTTTTTTTTTTTGTCTTTTTGAAACAGGGTCTCGCTACATAGTTCAGGCTGGCTGTGAGCTTTTTAGCCCAAGCTTGCCTCAAACTCACTGATCCTCCTGCTTCAGCCTCCTGAGTGCTGGGACTGCAGGCATGCGCCACTATGTCCATGTAGATTTTTAATTCTCTAAATTGCTTTTATTGTTCAGGTGGTCCACTTTCAGAAGAAAAGAAACATAGGGGAATCAGTTGAAGGGTAAACATACTCTCACATGTTTGGGCCTACATAAAAATTGTCAAGCTTTGTTTTTTCACATTATCAAACCCTGATGGTAAAAAAAGGAAAAAATGGAACTCAAAAGCATATTGTCTAAACACTAGACTTTAAATTAAAAGGTCCCTTAATAATCAAGGCATTGAATATTCCTTGTGTTCCATTTTCCTAATGCCATTAGGAAGAAGTGGCCCAGACCAGAGAGCGACAGACACAGTTTCTGTCTTTTTCCTCACAAAAGCAGATGGTTTCTGTGCCATCAGACATGGAAGGGATTCCCTGTTGGGGGTGGTGAGGACTGTCCTTCAGGAGCCCTGGACTCTCCCGTCATCTCCTTTGTTAGCTTCATGGCTCTTCTGTCAGCTCTGGCTCCTTCTGGTTGTGGTTAATCCAGTGCCCCAAGGGAGACACATTTTTGTGAACTTAAGCCATCTTATAAATCTACCGTGCCTGTTTTATTTCTTCTGAGGCTTATTTACATTTAAAATATATATTTGAAGTTAGAGTGTCCTATAATTGATGGCATTGTAAAATTAATTGGCAGTTGGGTATGGTGGCAAACACCTGTAATCCCAGCACCCAGGAGGCTATGGCTGGAGGATTATTGTAAATTCGAGTCCATCCTGGGCTACAAAGTGAATTCAAGGGCAGCCTGAACTGCATGGTGAGACCCAGTCTCAAAAGGACAAAAAACAAAACAAAACCAAAAACGTGGCAGTCTTTTTTTTTTTTTAGTTGTGTATAAAATGTTTTTCAGTTGGCATTTAAGATGCAGTGGTATACGGATGTACATTTTGTACTTTTTAATATGAAATCACAAGTAAATAAAAGATCTGCTTTTCCCCAAGAGGTCATTTGTAATGAAGCCATTTTCCCCAAAATAATTAAGTACATTAATAAAATGCTCCCTGACTTGGGAGTTTTCCATTTGTACTCATGAGGAAGGAGGGCTCTACCCAGTGCACATAAGTGTGGTTTGCCTGATTCTTGTTTCTTGGTTGGCTGTGTTGACCACAGCCACTCCCAGTTGAGGGTGAAGACCCAGGAGAGAAGCCCCACATCCTGATTTGGGGTCCCAAGTACTGACTGACACCCCACTGTCTCCCTGCCCATCTCTCCACTGCCTGCTCCCAAGAGGTCATCGAGTTCCCCTTCCCTTCCTTGCTCCCGGGGGGTCTCGGGGTGAGCTTTTCTGGCTCACCTGCAGCATTTTTTTTTTTTTTTTTTGTCTTTTTCGTTTTTATCGGTACCAGGGATCGAACTCACGACTGCCTGCTTGTAAGGCAGGCGCTTATGCTGCTGAGCTAAATCTCCAGCCCACCTGCAGCATTTTTTCTAACCAGTAATTTTGTATAGTTTATTTGGTTTTTGCCATGAAAGTTGAATAAGGAACAATTTAGCTAAGAATGTGATGCATACCCTCTGTTTGAACAGCCTCAACGTTAGTCCACTGCCCTAATCACTTTTCCTAATTTCTGTGAAAAAACGCATTTTGAGTTCCAAAAGCTGTTGTTAACACACAAAACTGAGGATGCATCCTCTTTGTCAACTCAGACCTCTGAGTGAGTGAGAGTGTGTGTGGATCAGGAAGCTTCTAGAGCATTTTCTCTGGCAGGGTGCTTAATTTGAACACAGTGCTTGTCCTGCAGGATGCCCAGGGTGTGGAGGAACGGGAAGCCTTAGCTAGGATGGCAGCTAATGTGGAAAACCCAGCATCTGCCGACTCAGAGGCACACATTGAGAAGTACCTCAGGAGTGTGTTGGCCGTGGAAAACCTCCTGACGCTGGATCGCCTTCGCCAGGTCAGTGCAGTCTAATGCCACAGCGGCATTAGTGGTGACTCCATGCCGCGCAGGCTTGTTGTGGCTGACATCTGAAAAGTTTCCTCTAAGTCTGAGTAACTCTGAGCCATTGAAATTGGGTCACTCTGTCCTGTAAAGTACGGCCGTTGTCTTCGGGCAGCACTGTCTGGGATGCGACTCTCATGTGACTTCCCTGACCCCCAGGAAGTGGCAGTGAAGGAGCAGCTGACAGGGAAGGGCAAGCTAAACCGCAGGAGCATCAGCTCCCCCAACGTGAACAGAGTGAGTAGCACCTTGCCTGGGCTCTGCTCCTGCTCCTCTCACCCTGCTCAGGTTCCTGCAGTCAGGGGCACTTTCCCCAGCACTGCTTTGGACACTCTGGTCCCACACTGTTGCATCCGTGCCCACCCCTGCCGCGGGGAGCCATCCCCAGGGAGCCTCAGGGATCCCTTCCTCCTCCCTGCCCTAAGACAGCACATCCAACAGCAGGTGGTGCCCAGGCTGGTCCCATACAGGCCAGTGAGGGGGCGGGATGAGTGGACAGGGAGGGCTTCAAAATAGGGCTTGTTTGATTTTTCATGTGCGCATTAAACATGAAAACAGTTCTTCAGAAAGAAATTTTCTTGTGGTGCCTAGATTTCACCTTTCCTCACTTTTGATAAAGATGCATGTATGAAAAAAATATACTTTTTGTCCTAGCTGCATAAGAAGAAAGATCACAGAATAAGAGGTGGGAAGGAGCGCTGTCCCGAGCTGTGGGGTGTGGGAGGGAGGTGGGGGGCCCCAGGGAGGTTGTCCCTCAGGATGGCACCGGTGACCTCAGACCAGAACACTGGAGCCACTCAGTGTTGTGTAGACATGCTGCCTTAGCTCAAGGTCAGTACCTTCCCATTCCTTCAGAAAATGGTGTATTAAAATGTTCTGTACGTGCAGAGGTTTGTTATCTGGGATCCTGTCCTTTAAAATAAGGTTGGCAAGTTTTCCCTTGGTCCTGGTACCCAGAGGAAGGCTCAGGCTGTGGTAGGAACCCAGGGTATCCTTTCAATAAAGGGGGCTCACAGCACAACAGCCCCTGCTCAAGGCTAGCTATTATTGCCTCCCTGAAAACTGATGCCTAGATCTGCTAGAAAGCTCAGTGTTTGTTGTGTCCTGGAGGCCTCTGGTCTGCAACCTCGGCCTTCACAACCCCGATGCTGGCCCTGGGTCTTGGTGGCCTCCCCTGTGACCCTGTGTCTGCTCCCCCGAGCCTGGAGGACTGATGCTCTCGTTTCTCCTCAGCTGTCCGGAAGCCGGCAGGATCTCATCCCTCCGCACACTCTGGGTGGCAACAAGGTTGGTACCAGTCACGTGTTAGGCCTGTTCCCTGCGCTCCTGTTGCCTTCTCAAGCAAGTTTTGTCATTTCCGAGCGCCGGTGTACAGCCTTCTCCCCTGTACCGGTGTGGTCTGTTGGGAACATTCACTGCTTTTCATCTGCCACTTGGAGTAAGGTTGGCTCTACCCTCATTACTGGGATTGAAAAATGATGTTTTTGGCTAGCGCTCACATTTCTGCCTATATTTTTCTTCTGTGAGAGAGGAACTTCGTATCAGATTTTTAATAGTGAAGTATTGACATATTGATTGAGAATTTATGAGGAATAGGAAAATTACATCTAAAAGTTAACACCATTTCTCAGAAAAAAGAAAAAGGCACAGCAATTTTATTCACTAGAATTTATTTCATTGTTAAACAGAGGCTTAGACAAGTCAAAGCTCATTACCTGAAGAAAGCTTAGCACTTCCTGCAGCTTTCTTACCTGGATATCACAGGTCACAGTGCGTGCCTGTCACTTTCTGAGGGGCCCTGGTGTGTGCCTTGTGCTCTGTGTGGAGGGGGACCTGCGAGGAGGTCAGGCGTGTGTGTCGCCCTGCGGGGCCACAGTGATGTCCCTGGGCTAGGATAGATAATTATGACCATCTGTAATTATCAAGGTCAAGCGAGGCTCACGGTACTGCTCTTTCTGGACTTGTTCACTGTCCTGTGCTCGTGTTTTTGTATATATCTGACATTTTCCTTATGAAAACTTAGGACCAGCGAAGATGAAATTGATGAATCAATTAGACTCATTTTAAGATTTGGGTTACTAGTAGCTGTCTGAAGAGAAGTCAGTCTCTTTCTGTCTCTGTTTCTCTGTGTTTCTCCTCTTTCTGTCCTGTCTGTCTCTGTGTCTGTCTGTCTGTCTGTCTGTCTGTCTCTATCTCTCGCTCTCACACACACACACACACACACACACACACACAGATTGCTTTCCGACTCATTGCTTCACTGATGCACCACACGCAGGGACGTGGGTCTGTGTGAGGGTGCTGCAGTGTACTTCTCGTTCACACAGGAGCAGTGATAGGTTTGCATAGCTCACCTTGGCCCAGGTTATGATTATCTGAAGAGTGTAGAGTTTTCAGAAGCTTGATTATATAGTGATATTTAAATGTGAATAAAATAAATGTCGTAGGGGAAATATATTTACAAGAAAGAACACAACTTGCTATGGTTTTTGGGAAATGTGTCTAACCAAAATCTAAAATTTTAAGTTTCTTGAAGAAAATAGAATCTCTTCTGTGTTTCTGTTTCCCCCAATTTTCCTTGTGTTAGACTGGAGATGGTGGCGGTCCCCGCTCCTGCAAATAATGTGCCAGTTCTTCACACCAGGCAGCAACATGAGGGACATAGGCCCTAGGAACCCCTGCTTTCTTGCTGTCCTGTGGGGGACTGGAAGGGGATTCAGAGAGGCGGTGACGCTCAGCAGAGCCCAAGGGTGGCTCTGAGGTGCACATGGGCAGATGAGGACATGAAACCCCCAAGTTCCAGGGAGCATGCAGGGTGGAGCCGGGTGTGCCAAGCAACCATGGGCCAGGTGGCCCCTGAGGACCAAAAGCCAGGTTGTGGGTGCTGACTTGGGGCAGGATATCATCTTTGCATCTCCTTCTCACTTGTGAGGTTGTCCCTCTCATCAGCCTCTGGTCGCTGTGGCTCCATCCAGATCAGCAGGTGACAGAAATGAATCATTGCCCCTGTACCAGGGCCAGGCAAAGGAGAAGTGTGGTGGCGGCTGCTTAGGTTTGGGCCTGCTTAATGAAAAGTTCACTCAGATGGTGGAGGGGAGGAGACTGTGGGCCAGAGGCATTTGGGTCCAGTTCGCTCAAGGGGGAGAACAGAGTCGCTCCCCTCTTTTCAGTTGATGGGCCCCAGTAGACTTATCGAAAGGAGAATATGTTAAAAGAGTATTGGGGGATTCAAGTCTGCTTTCCTTCCTTCTTCCCTTCTGCTTCCCCCTTCTTTCCTCCCCTTCTCCTTCCTACTCTTCCTTCCCTCCCTTTTTCCTTCCTCCTCTGTCTTTCTTTTTTTTTTTACTGTACTGGGGATTGAACCTAAGGCCTTTGCACTGAACTACATCCTTAGCCCTTTGTTTATTTTGAGACAGGATCTCACTGCGTTGTTAAGTTGCCCAGGCTAGTTTCGAACCTGTGATCATCCTGCTTCAGCTTCCTAGAGTACTGGAATTATAGGCATGCACCACCAGGGAACAGTATTTTCAAAGTCACATCTCCTCCTGAGTGAGAAGAGAAACTTTTTCTCTGTAATAACAAGGAACAGAGGAGCTGGGATTTAGCTCAGTGGCTCAAGCACTTACCTTGTATAAACACAAGGTTGTGAGTTTGTTTGAACAGAGACTCACCTTGGAGCATTTTAAAGGACACATGTCATTGCATTGAAATTAGAATTATGAGTGCACCAGTAAGAGTGTCCCTTTGGAATGGGTAGAGTTTAAACTAACTGACCTACAAAAGGCTGAAGTACTATTAACCCCTGAACACAGCACTGCTTACATACACAGGAGGTGGCATATGTACACTGTGCCATTCTTGTAATAGCAAAAGAATGGAAACAAACTAAATGCCTGTCAGTGCAGTCTGGTTAAATGTGTTTTACTCGCACACAAATGGGTTAGTATGCAGCTATGAAAATGAGAACCCTTGAAGGAACTAATTTGAGAACACTGCCAGGCATCTTCAGTGATGGTGAGAAGTGAGGGCAGTAGACTGCTGTGTATGCTGTAAAAGATGGGGACAAGCGGAACGCGTGGCTGTGTGCAGATACACTTAGCAGTACACAGGATACCGTAGAGAAGTGAATTCTGCACAGTACCTGCCTGGGGAGGAGACAGAAGAGGGCAGGTGGCCAGGCTGCATAGGTGGAGCTTCTCCCTGGGAGCTCTTTCCTCCATTTTTAAAATTTAAAAATGTTGTTCTCTAACCTTTTAATTTGCTATATTTAGTGGCATGATGTGGACTCCAGTTGCCCAATTCCTAATTGGCGATTATCAAAGGAGCAGTTGTTGAAGAAGTTGTTTTGGAAATGCCAGTGACTCATGTTTGGTTTTCCTTTTCTTTTGGAGACTTCTTGGGTGCCTCAGTTTTTGGAGATTAGGGGAGAGGCTGGTTTGAACCTTGGTGGTACGGGTGTGACTGTCCTGTTGAATCCTATTGGGTGGCTTGTCCCACCCAGCAGTTTGTCGCACCCAATGGGACAGTCATACATGTCCCACTGGTGTTTCAGAGCCACCCGACAGTGAGACGCACAAAATATGGTCCATTGTGAATGTGGCCCCTTGAGGCCCCGGTCAGTGGGTGGGATGTAGGTACGGTCCTGCCCTGTGAACTATTCATGTGCTGTTGCCTTCACAAGATAAGTGCAGGTTGTGTTGCCTTCACAACACAAGTGCACTTTTAAGTGCAGGTTCCATAGGTGCTCAAATTGAACCCTCTTTTTTGGAGCAATAACTTTGGTGGTCGGTATCTGATTCTTAGTATTGCTTGGTACCTGGGCCCATGACTGTGTAGCAGTCTAAGAGGTTCTGGAGAGTGATGAGTTAGAGTTAATTCACATTAAATGTATAGCGCAGGTATCTGGGGACCTGCAGGCCTGGGAACAGAAACCTGAGGACTGTGCTCTGATCATTCTTTGACCCCAAGGTTTTGCAGAGAAGGACCATCTTGGTTTCTTTGCTCAGAGTATTTAATGTTCAGGAGAATTGAGTCAAATATGATTTAAACCTGGATCTGTCAGTGCTGAAAATGCTAGAAAATACATTTTGAAATAATAGAAAGTTGTACTAATAGATGTTGCGTGTACCTTGCAGACTTACGTGGGGCTATCTCTGGGTTCTCTGTTTCTGTTAATATACAAGTCTCCCCTGTGATGTGAGTTACAGATCAAAAGTAAGGTTAGAACCTGGAGTGTTGTGTGTGGCACACTTGCCCTGGCACAAGAGCATGCTGGGTACCACAGAGATTCTTAGGAGCAGGGAGAGACCACCAGACAGGCTTGCACCGCTCGTGGCCAGAGTGAAGCATTGTCTCTGGGAGCATTAATAGCATTAGAAGGGTGGCAGAGGAGCAGGAAAGGAGTGGCCAGTAGGGTTTGGGCTTCGAGGCGGTGAGATGAAGTGGACAAGCACTGGAAACAGACTCAGCGTGGCTTAGTGACACCTTGAACCTGGCCGGCCTGTTTTGCATACCCTTCTTTATTGATTCTTCTCACATAGCAGACTTGGAATTGCTTTACTGGACTCTACTAAGATTGAATTGATGAACTAATTAATCTTTAAAAAATAAATTTGATTATTCCACATTTTAAATTTATCTTGGGGCTAAAAGAACTCACTGTTGGGATGAAACTTTCAATTAAAGATATAAAATATGAACCCTAATTGAAGGGATGTTACTATTTACTGTTGCTAGGTGTTTCACTATTTTATAAGGGGATTTTTGTTTAATCTTTTTTTTTAATCAGTACCGGGGATCGAACTCACGACTGCCTGCTTGCAAGGCAGGTGCTTATGCCGCTGAGCTAAATCCCCAGCCCCTTTATAAGGGGATTTAAAAATAGTTATAATGAAAACTTAGCAGGCTTTATATGACTGTCTACCAGCAGATATTTAGGTGCAAAATTAATTTCAGCCTGTGGTTGGTCTTTCCACTTCAGAGTTGGCTGTGCATTGAGGTCTTTTGCAGTGAAAGGAAAGCTATCAACCAGAACATTGTTATTTCTAAAGCCATTTTGTAGGAAAGTATATTTTTAGTAAATGAATAAGGTACGTAGTTCACTTGTAATCTGATTGGAGTTTTTGATGGAATTAAAATTAGTCTACAACTTGAGTGATACTCCCTTGACAGAATCACACTGTGTGCTTTGGTCGTATCTCTTTCCCGAAACTGTCATTACTCAGCGTGACCCTTGTGTGGGCCTTGCCAAGCATGAGTCACTTCTTCTTCAGCTGCATTAGGTGCTACCTTTGTGCCTGAAATGTCACTGGCACTTTTCTTTATTTACCCCTTTGTCACTTTCGTGATCAAATAGGACCCTTTTACGGAAAATCCAGGGAATGTGCAGCTGGCAGAGGAGTGGGGACAGGAAAGCCGGGACCTAACAGTGTCTCCAGTGAGGGCCCCCAGGCTCCTGCCTTGTTGCGTGTCCTCTGAGCATAGTGTCTGCTCCAAATGATTGCTGTCCCAGCCAAGGACTATGTTTCTTTGTGTTCTGCCTATGGAACAAACAGTCCCTAATAGTTGCAGGGCTTGTCAGGGACTCTAAACAAAGCCAGCGTTTCTTTCTCTCTTTTTTAATTTTTTTTTTATTTAAAGAAAAACAAAACAGAAAAAGTGTAGAAATAATACATAATTTTAAAAAATAAACAGTAAGAAATCACTAGATGGTAATTACATATTGTCCTCTTACTAATAGTTGTTCAAGTTACAAAAGTGAAGCATTCAAAGTGGACATTCAAACAGCGAGACTGCAAACAGTTCTGTTCAACTATCCAGCAAAAACTTAGTAATATGGTTACCAATCCTACACACTTAAACACACATGCAGTTGTATCCTTTAGAGCACTATCTTTTCCTCTCTTTTTTATAATAGCAATTACACATTTTGGGTTTTATTGCTCCTATATTTCTTATTACTTTTTACGCTAGAGACACAACATGATATTTACAAATATGATTCTTATTTATTTCACTAATGAGGATAGCCTCAAGTTGTCTCCATTTGCCTATGAAAGCTCAAGATCATCCTTTTTTATAACTGAGTAATATTTCATTTTACACATCCTTAATCCATTCCATTATACACATCCTTTTCTTCTACTCTGCGGTTGACGGGCATCTTGATTGTTTGCAAGATTTAGCTATTACAAATTGTGCTGCTATGAACTTGGATGCACATATATCACTGTGATATGACCTTTTCAGTTTTTCTGGGAAAATACCCAGGAGGGGAATAGCTGAGTTGAATGGAACTTCCAATCCTAGTCTTCTGAGAACTCTCCATGCTGATTTTCTTAGTGGCTGCACTAGTCTACACTCCCACCAACAGTGGAGCAGTGTTCCTTTTTCCCCCTGCAGCCTTGCCAACATTTGTTATCAGTTGATTTCTTGATGGCAGCCATTCTTTCCGGAATGAGGTGAAATCTCAATGCTGTTTTAATTTGCATTTCTTGAATGACCAGTGATGGTGAACATTTCTTCATGTATTTATTTGCCATTTGTATATCTTTATCCTAGAACTGTGTGTTCATCCTCTCTTCTCTTTTCTGCGACCAATGCTGCTGATGTGCAGAATGTTAGAAACAGACACAGACCAGAAATTGATGTTTGAGATTCTGGGTCATGTGGGTGCATATAACTGTGATGGAAATTAAAAGAACAAAAACCAAAAGCACATTCTTTTACCTTCTGAGGCTGAGTTATCAGGAGACCCCAAAGTTCAAAGTCTGTCTTTTTCCTAGTCCCTAACCTTCTGAACTGTTTTCACTGAGTGTTGATTCAAATTATTATTATTATTATTTTAGCATCTCAGTGAAGGGAGGAAAACCACAGAGCAGCCAAGCATCTCAGGTTTACTAGAAAGACAGTACTCACCCTGCCCCTGGGGAAAGCGCCCTGGGTGCAGAGTTTGTCTCTGGCCAGAGAACAGATGAGTAATGCAGGAATGGAGAATGATGAAGGGTTTCATCACAGTGGCTGTGGGCTTCAGGCATCTGCTGGGGGAGGCAGGGCACCTGCTCATTTTGTAATTGGATTTGTGGTTCCCTGGGAAGCTGAGCCCATTCCTCCCTGGAGTCTTGAGACCCCATCTTTGGGCAGTGAAACTGGGCACAGGAATCCATGGGCTTCCTCTGGGCTGGTTGGCTGGAGGACAGACGGACAGAAGTGCCAGGTGATTTAGCTCTCCTTAGCTGACAGGGCCAGTGGCACCTAGGCACTGTCTAACCCTGTTGTGAGTTCTTGCTGGGAAGACTTGGGAGCCAGGCAGCAGCCTGTCTCCTCAGTTCCAGCTTTGCAGCAGTGTTGGGGAGTGCCAGCTGGGCATCTGAGTATGCCTTTGGGAAGAGGTGACACCTCTATTATTTGTCACTGAATGTTCTGCATCAGACAGCCCAGGTGCTGACTCCAAATCAGCTATTTGGTTTTCCTAAGGGATAGCGTGTGATATTAGCCTCCAAACAAAGAATAGAATCTAAAATATGAAAGCACACATATTCTTTAATAAGTAAGTTGATTTCAAACCACCTTGTGTGAACTTGACACTAACCTGAGTCTCCCGAGAATCCTTGGAGATCAGTGACCTTAGTATTCAGGCACCTGATTGCCACATCCCAGGGTTGCAGACCAGCAGCCTCCCAGACAGATAATTAAATTTAAACGCAAAAACATTGACAAAATATTAAATTATGTAAATCATCACATGCTCCATAATAACGCAACTGTGCCTACAGTGCAGCGTTGCAGCATTTGTGTTTTGCTGATTGTGTGTTCATGCCTGCTTTGTCTCCCTGCTTCCTACTGAGCTCCGGCCAGCAAGTGCTAGGCGAGGTCCCTGGGTAGTGGCGTCCTCGGAGGTAAACATGATCCGGATCACTTAGAGCTTATTGATTTTATGATCAGTGCTTAGGTTGTTGCTGAAAGCAGACACGTTCCCAGTACACACAGAAGCCGCCGCCCACCTTGGGGAGCAGCAGAGGTTGCTGTTTCCGCTCCACCTTTCAGGCAGGTCCTCAGTGGTAGGGCTGTTCTATGCCGAACACTAGCAAAGCTAACACTGTCACACGCCAGTAAGAAAGAAGCCAGAGTGTCAAAAGAGTGTCAGAGGAAACTCAGGATTTACTCAAAACACAAGGCTGCACCGGCTGAGCATTCACACCTGGGTGAGCCCCATGCAGCACAGTCTGGGCGGGGAAGCAGACCCTGCCGACAGTGGCCGCCCGGCCTCATCTGGAGGCCAACTGAAAAGATGGGTGTCTCGAGGCAGAGTGTGTGCTGGGAGTAGCAGGATGCAGTAGAAAGAGGATTAGGGCGGATTTGCTGGGGATTGTCAGTATGAGGTGGAGGGACACCTGCATTTGAGGTGGTTCTGTCACTGTGAGGGGAACTCATACTGCCAGCACGGTGGTCAGACGTATGTTCTGGAAAGAGAAGAAAGCTGTGGTAATGCAGAACACTTTTTTGTATGAATATCTTTAATTTTTATGTTAGTTGATTAATTTGGAACAAAATGACTGATTCCATCCTATTACAGGGCCGGTGGGAAAGTCAGCAGGATGTGTCCCAAACACCAGCTTCCGGAGGAGTAGCTCCAGTCCCCCCAGCCCTCTCTGTTTGTTCCCAGAATAACCATTCTCCGGATCCAGGTGAGTGTCTTTTCATCTGTCAGTCAGGATTATGAATTTGAGCATCTTTTAGAAGAGTTTAAGTCAGGACTTCTACTAGGCAGATGCTATTCTGCTAACATCCACTTCAGTTTTTCCCTTTCTTGACTAGGCATGTTGAGTGACCTTGGTTTTGAAGTGTTGAGTTTATCCTGCATCCCTCTGATAAATACTCTACTCTTAATCCTGGCGTTTTATCCTTTATGTTACTTGGCTCTGTTTGCTAATATTTTGTACATGTTCCATGTTGAATATATGCCTATAATCTGTTATTTTTTCATACTCATGTTTTGGTAGGTTTTGGTATCACGATTGCATTGGTCTCATAAAATGACTAGAAAAATACTTCTCAGATTTTTCTGGAAGGTTTTATATACATGTGGTGCTACACCTTTCTTAAATGTTTGATAGAATTCCTCAGTGACATTATTTGGATCTGGAAGTCTCTTTGTGGGAAGATTTTAAATTAAAACTTATATTTCTTTAATACAGGGTTGCTTCAAGTTTTGTATTGTGAGTCAGCCTTTATAAGTTACGTTTTTTTGGTGAATTTTCTGTTTCATACAGATCAGTAAATTTCAGCTAGGCATGGTGGTGCACATGTGTAATCCCAGCACTCTGAAAAGCTGAGGCAGGAGAATCACAGGTTCAAGTCTAGCCTTGGAAATTTAGCAGTTTTTGGGAGCCTTGCTCAGAATAAAAATTAAAAAGTGCTGTAACATAGCTTGTTGCAAAGACCCTGTATTTAATCTTCAGTTCCAAAAAAATTTTTTCGTATGTGTCAGTGTTACTGTATTCTTTTAAGATTTGTAAAGGATCTCTTGTGCATTTTCTTCTTTAGATTCTGATAATTATTGAGATTTTTCTTGAGTATGTCTATAACAGATTTAATGCATATATTGATCTCATAGAACCAACTATTTTTATTTTAAAGAAGATGAAACAATAAAACCAATCAAAGCAAACCAGTGTAAAAGATACAGAACTTCAAAACATTATGAAATCAACAATACTTACCATAATGCCTTTTGATGTCTTCAAAATAGCTGCAGATAACTTTGGACATGGTAAAAATCAAACAGAACAGAATAGAAACAATAAAAACAAAATAATGCAGTAAAAGATTTCAAAACAAGCCAATAGTACATTCAAAATTGCTACCATAATATATTTTGCCATCTTTGAAATAGCTGCTCATGTCATCAGATTTAACATAAACAAAAGAAAAGAGAATAAAACCCAACCCAACAAAACAATGGACATGATATAGAAATTCAAAACAAGACAATAGGAAATCTGCAATAGCTACAACCCTCAGAAGGAGATCTCCTCTAGATGCCACACTGCATACCGACATCCTTTGAACCCAGAGCACTGGCCCTAGACCTGCAATGTTAGTGCAACACCAAAGCACCACAAGCGTCCAATCGCATTTCACCATATGCATTTCCATAGCTCTCATCACAGCCTGTATTTCTCTGGATAAGTTGGTTGCTTACAGATTGTAAGGGGAATAATTGGTACTTCTTGTTTGCCAGCCTGCACGCTGGATGGAGCTGGGATCTGGCTATTCCCAGTCTGGTGGCAGCTCGCACATGGTGCTGGTTCCCAGCCTGGGCTTGCTTGCTGGTGTGGCCTTGTTCTCTCTCAGAACCAACTTTTGATGTCAGTTTTCTTTGTCACTGTCTATTTCATTAATTTTGAGAATTTCTGCTTATCATGTATTTTGTCATGTTTTGCTGTCATTATATTTCTGTTTAGAATATGTTTAGATTTCTTTCTAATTTCTTTGACCCGTGTGTTATGTGGTAGTGTGCTAATTCATTCTTAGATATTTGGTTTTTAAAAATTTTTATTTGGGCTGGGGATTTAACTTAGCAGCGTAAGTGCCTGCCTTGTAAGCAGGCAGTCATGAGTTCGATCCCTGGTACCGATAAAAACGAAAAAGACAAAAAAAATTTTTTTATTTAATTTTATTATGGGCAGGGAACAGTTTCTTCCATATTTTAATCTCTAGACACTATAAAATTTACTTTATAAAGTCTTTTTGTTCTCAACTAGCTATTGTCTTTTAAGGAAATTAAGCAAATTAAGGTGGTACTTGTCTCTTAAGGAAATTAAGTGGATCATGTTTGATACTTTTCCTCATATTTCAGGCACTATTAGTCCTTCCTAAAGATCTTGTTTTCATCTGGTCTCACTCATTATGAAAAATGTTCTGAAGAATTTCTTACCGTGCAATTCTCCTGGAGTGAAGTACTCTCTTTTGGGAATATCTGCGTATCTCTGGTTTTGTTAATTTATTTTTTTTAAGGCTGTTTGGGGTACACGAAGATCCTGGGCTGCTGGCTTTTCCTTCTAGCTGCTCATTCATAGCCCAGCCTTGTCTGCCGTGATCTCCCCAGCACTGTAACGTGCCTTTGTGTAGTTGGAACACTTTCAAAATTTTCCCTTATCTTTTTTTTAGCAGTTGACTGTGAACAGTTTTCTTACTATTCATCTTGCTGATGGTCTTGGATCTGTAAGTTAACATTTTCAACAAATTTGAGAAATCTTCAGCCAGTTTTTATTAAATGTAATCTCTCACTTCTTCTTCTGCAGCTAGTAACTCGCAGGTCAGTTGCCTGGTGTGGCCACACGGGTCACAGAGGCTCTCTTTCTTTGTGCTTTTAACCTTTTTATGTCATTCTCTTTGGATCATTTCATTTCTTCTGCCATTTCCAGTGTTCCATTGGGTATATCCAAAGAATTTAAAAAATTTCTGTTGCTGTTCTTTTCAGTTCTAGAATTTCCATTTGCTGCTTGAATGGTTTTAATTTCTCTGCTGGTATTCTTTATCTGGGCATTTGTTAAGGCCACATTGTTTTCCTCCTTGAACTCATTTTTAAAAACTGTCTTAAAGTGTTTGTGAAATCACACAAAGATCCAGTTTTTTTTTACTCTTTTCGCGACCATGGGTCATATTTAATAAGCTTAGTCCAGTGGATTTATTTGTATGCATGGGTATGTATGTGTGGGAGGTGCACACACACCGGAGTCCTGTCCTGCTTCAGGTGTGGTACATTCCCATGGCCCCAGGTGGCCCCCACCGTCAGCACTGTGCTGCTATCTGTCCCATGAGGCCCTGTGCGGCTGAATGTACCATGAGTGTACCGTGGTGTATGTGCTCTCAGTGTTGGGCTCTTGCTAAGCACATATGTTTGCCTTGCATAATGTTGGTGCCATGTGTGTTCATCCTTTTTCCTCCTGAGAAATACTTCGCTGTCACAGTTGATCTTATCCCAGTCTTTAATTGGTTCTACTGCCTATGGATGTTTGGGTTTTTCCAGTTTGGGGTTACTGTGTGTAAAGCTTGTTTTTGGATAAATCTGTTTGTGGAGTAAACAGAAGTGAAATTACTGAGTTATAGGATACCACCTAGTTTTGAGTTCCCTGAATGTGGTGGTGCTGTTACACTTACATTCGGTGAGCGCTGACTCAATTCACACACTTGTCATTTGGATTTGCTCATCATTGTTCTTGCATTCCACTCTGTTTTTTTAGTTTCTTTTGTAGCAAGTCATAGCCATTATCAGTGCTTTTAGCAGTTGTCTGTTAGTGGCAAACGTTTGATTTCTTTTAGATGTTAAAAGCTTTAATTTGGTCCCTCACTTTTGGAAACCCTTTTATTATGGAAAATATCAAACATACAAAAGTAAAAAGAGCACTGTGATGCCTCCCCAGGCATCTCCTGGGGTTTGGAATGAGCCTTCCTGCCCAGCGTGCCTGACCCGTGCACCCCGCCTCTTTCCCACCTGCTGGTTCCCATGAGGTGGCTGGCACATGTAGCCTGTGGCTGGATAGCGACTGGGTTAGTGCAGTGAACCTGTTAGGGCTTTCAGTGATAACACATAGCCCTGTGCGGCACGCGTACACCTCTGGGCAAGGTCCTCATTCAGATTCGGGTCAGCCTGACAAGATACAGTACTCTGCATTGTTAGTTTTTCTCGGCATTGATGTGCTTACATTCTCTGACTCTACTCATCTTAAAGCTTTTTCTGCTCATGTCCTTTTTTTGTTTCTCCTCTCTACATTTGCATTCTTGTAAAATACTTGCCTTTCTGAGCTCAGTTGTAATGTGTCTTGGTAGTGGAGCCATCTCACTTCATCTTTTGAGTGGTCGCTCTTATGATGACAATAGACATCCTGAACTGTTCACAGTTGGGCTATCTTGCCTTTTGTGTAGCACAGAAACCTTGCAAAGTACCAGCTTCTCCTGTGCTTCTCGGGAGTCGGGAGTCCCCATGGGCTTCAGTAGAGTAGAGGGCCCATGTCGGTTGTGCCCTTCCTTAGGGGGAACCTACGTGTTCTTCAAGGTGACTTCAGTGTTCTCTCAGATATGGTGTTTTATCATTTATGATTTGAATTAGATTTTCCTATAATTTGGTAACGAGAAAGAAATACTACTGTACCAAACGTATCATCAACACATCTGATCCAAGTCTTTGGTGAATGACAGCAGGGAAGGATGTAGTTATATAGACACTGTCACTGTCTTTTAAACAATAGCTGAACACCCTGAGTGTGCTGGTGCACACCTATAATCCCAGCACTCAGGAAGCTGAGGCAGGTTGCTATGAGTTCAAGGCCAGCCTAGGCCACAAAGTGAGTTCAAGGCCTGGCTAAATAGCAAGACCCTGCCTCCAAAAAAACCCCCCAAATAAATAAATAAAATTAAAATAAATAGATAGATAGTAGCTGAACATACCCTTTCCCCAAAAGCTCAAGATCACTGTTTCTTTTAGTTAAGAGCTATGCAAAGTTATAGTTGAGGAAGAGCTTGACATCTATAAGAATGATGTAGAGTGGATTTTGTTGATTATGTGATTTAAAATCCAGGGCATTTTCTTTTTCTTTTTTTTTTTTTTTTGTCTTTTTTGTTTTTATCGGTACCAGGGATTGAACTCACGACTGCCTGCTTGCAAGGCAGGCGCTTATGCCGCTGAGCTAAATCCCCAGCCCCTAGCATTTTAATTCTAGAGCAGAAGTTAGTCCTTGTACCAGTAGTGGGCAAGAACTAGGGCAGAGTACATTTCTAAAGCTGATGGAAACACTGATACTACCACCCTGTAGAGGGTTATTTAGTTGGTTGAAGACGTACCATTGTATTGGAGGATACTTATGATGATGGTATATTTTTCTAATTTTAATTTTTTAAGGGTAGCTTTTTAAAATTTATGTTGTTGGCTTAGCTTATAAATGATGAATGGCAGGTTTACAGGAAAGAGGATGAGTCTGTGACTGGTTTTGTCCTTTTCCCTTTCAATGTCCACACAGGACTCAGTAACCTTGCAGCCTCCTACTTGGCTCCTGTGAAGTCCCTGGTGCCACAGATGCCGAAGCTGCTGAAGTCTCTCTTCCCCGTCCGTGACGACAGACGACAGCCGCTTCCCCCTGCACATCAGGTAAAAGGCACGGTGAAGGCAATGGCTGTTTTCTAACACTTCCTGGCACAAGGGCCTGGGTGTCAGTGCCAAGGGGCTGGCGGTGGAGGGATAGCAGCAAGGAGGGCGTCAGAACTGGGCTTTTAACCCTGCGAGAGCTTGCGATGATTTCTCTTCCACTCTTGAGAGATAACAGAGCTGTTCGAACTTATTGACACGCTCCATCCTTTCTGCTTTTAAGAAATGCCAAGCACGCTACTAATGTGATTTATGGTAATATCACTTAGAGCAACAATAGTAAAATTTATGAAGTGCACTTAGTGTTGTTTGTGTATTGCCAAATAGAAAATGTAATTCTATTTTTAATTCTTGATTTCATTTCTCATTTCAAACAATTTTGTATCATGCCTGTCCTTCCCTCTCAACCTCTGTTTCCTCTGCTGTGGATAATCTTTTTTTTTTCATTGAAAAGTGATCATTTGTCTTACTTCCTTTTTCCTTCAGACTTTCTCCCCAACCCTGGAATAGGTGTTAAAGAAAATGTAAAGGGTTTTCTAAACAATCAGGAGGCTGCTCTTATGCAGTGGTGAATGGGAACTCTGTAGGAAATGGAATTTCCAGCCGTATATAGGTGTTAACTCAGCAGAAAATGATAAATGAGGATTATTTATATTCATTCAAAAACACATACAGTGCAAGTGCAGTTGGTGAAATAAGTCTTTTGACACTGGCTTGTCCATATTCTTTTTAACGAGTTACTGAAATGCAGGTCAGTAGTTATCTGAGACTGAATTGTTTACAGGAACTGTGAGTTTATGAACGTGTGTTTAAGGGAGACAGAACTGGCTCTGAAAGCTGCTGTGAAATGCATAATTTCTCAGTCAGCCTGTATAAGCATATACACCATTATATAAGCATAGACACATGTGGATAAACTAAACAGTGAAGCTTTGGAAGTGTTCAGGCTGTGGGCACATAAGGGGTGCTGGTGGTTAGTGAAATGCATCTGGGACTGTGGGGCGATCAAGGGAAGCAAAACCTGTTTTTCCAGTGGTTTGTCATGGGATATGCCATTCTGTTTGTAATGTCTGTGTCATTGTTTCACAAAGTACAGTTGTGAGTTCATGATGTGAGTTACTAAGGTGGCTTTGGAAAAAAATAGCTTCTCAGTCTATCCTAGTGGCCCATAGCCCACTTGGGGATGCTTCCTAGGCTGCACTTATAAGCACCCATGGTGTTTCTTGTTCACATTTAAGTTTAATAACAACTGTTTTTCAATTGCTGTTCAGTGAAGACAGTTATCTAAATCAAAAGAAATTGAAATCACATTAAGTTCATTGACTCAGCCTAACATAGTTATAATTTTTTTAAAGCTATTTTCAGTTTTTGATGTAGCAAGTCAAAACACTGCCACACAGGAGGATTTATTTACACTCCCATTGTTGTTGGCAGTAAATGATCAGCTTTCTGGATGTGGCAGGAATGTGGTGTGTTTGATGCAAACCTGGAGGTGGAAGAGAACTATGACTTGTCACATCCTGGATAAAGGAGTTACTTGAAGTATTTAAGAGTTCTCTAGCACTTTTTGCTCACTTACTCATTTGTACTTTTTGAACATTCTGGGCAAAGGTTTTGGGGAGACCAGCCTTGCAGAAATATTTCATATTTTATAATATGTAAAACTGTAGGCCTAAAACTGTCTCTAGTGAAAGTGCCCGGTGGTCCAGTGAGCTTGTGGAAACACCTGCTTCCTTTTTCCCAAGTTCACAGTCTCTGTCCTCACTGCATTGCCTGTATCAGCACAGAACTTTCCCGGGCCTCTCCCGAGACCGCTGCAGCCATCAAGCCTCAGGTGTCCAGTGCCCTGTGCTGCATCCTAGGCCCTCTGTGTTCCCCCAGGGCTCTTTCCATGGGTGACCTTTCAACCCTTTGGCCAGCGAGATCTTCCAGTGCTTCCGTGACTCCATGGCTTAGAACCTTCCCTAATGGAATCAAAGCCAAATGTCTTATTGGGCCTTCTGATGCCTGCTAGGATCTGGTGCACTGACCTTTCCCTTCACGCCCTTCCTTTCTCAGCTCAGCATGTCTGTCTTTACTGCCTTTTTATGTCACAGATACACAAAGCACACTTAAGCCTCAGGCCTTCAGGATCTTGGCCCTTGTCTTTCCTGCTACTGAGAACACTTGCTCCATAGTCTTGGTATGGCCTCTCAGTCTCTTACAGGACGTCTGCTTCTCGAGGGGTCACAGAAGACCATTCATACTCAGGAAGAGCAGCTGAGTTTATAGTAATATGGTTACTGTTTCCCTCAGCCAAACATGCATGTGTGCCCATACACACTGGCATTAACATAATTAATCTTGGATTTTTTGGAGGGAGCCAAATACTCAGTGCTGAACCCAGGGCCTTCCCACTGACATACACTCTCAGCCCTGTTTTATTTTCAGATAGGGTTTCCCTAAGTTGCCCAGCCTGGGCTAGTTTGTGATGCTTCTGTTCAGCCTCCCAGAGTGCTGGATCTGTGATTAATCTTATGGGCATTATTGTTGGGTTTATAAACCATCACCCCAATGATGCTCAGTGCACAGGAGCTACAGAGTGGGCATCAGCTGGCTTGGATCCATGTGCTCAGCTTGCGCAGTTGGACTGTGGCTTGGGTCAGGCAGCAGTGGAAAGCAGTGCTTTAGGGTGGAGAGGAGGAAATCACATTGGAGTGGGATTTGCAGGATCTGGACCTGCGAGTGAATTTGCTTCCTTAAGCTGCTGGAATTCCTCTGAAGAGCGTTCCTAAGCATGAAGAAAACTCCAGCTTTTCCTTTGGGGCTTGACTGAGCATTCAGGCTCCTCTCATTGTTACTTTCTCTGCTAAAGTCCTGAGAGAGGTGAATTATAATTTTACAGGGCAGCATCAGCAGAAGCGTTTCTCCCACTTGGGCCCCTTCAGTATGCTTTAAATTGTTACATGGAGTAGGGTTTTGTCCTTGGGAATGGAGCACTTCAGTACTGGGGGAATGGGCAACAGCAGTAAGAAGAAAAAAGGTTGTGTATGGCGGTGCTTGCCTGTAACCCTGCACTCTGAGAGGCTGAGGCAGGAAGATCACAAGCTCCAGACCAGCCTGTGAAGTTTAATGACCTAATGAGACCCTGTCTTGGAAGAGTAGGATGGTCGTGGGATGCTGGTCAGTGGGAAGGGCCTGCCTTTGGCCTCGGCCCTGAGAAGCACAGTTGGTCTGCATTCCTCCTTGTATGTGGAAATCTTCACTGTAGCAGTTTCATTCTCTAGAGTCAGAGTCGGAGGCTGCAGTTTGAGCTCCTGATGTGAAAATGACGGTCTTCTCTCCTTTCCTGTGTGTCCTCTGAGGAAAAGACCTTGCTCCAGCCGTGGCCTCCAGGGCCCCTGGGAGGTGCAGGCAGGGCTAGCCCTTGACTCACAGTGCCTCCAGCCCAGTTCCCACAACCCTGTGCCTTGCCGCTTGGTGCCTCGTCTCCCCTTGCCTTGAAAGGGAGTAGTTGCCAGCCCAGAAGCAGAGGTACTGTATCCTCATCTCACTAGTTCCCCAGGAGGTGAGCAAATTGTGTGGCAAATGTTTAATTTAAAAATTATTCCAATAAGACCCATTGTCATTATTCTCCCTTGCCTTAAACAGCCTTCTCCTGTCTGTCTTGCCACTTTCTGAGGCAGTTTTGGAAGTTTTCTTTCGTGTGTCTAGGAGATGCGGTAAAAAGTTCATGTTCGGGGGGCTGGGGATTAAGAAAAAAAAAAAAGTTCATGTTGGCACTGGAAAAGCAGTCTTGTGAAAACAGGGTGTGACCAGGAATGGTGGCACATGCCTATAATCCTAACACTGGGGAGACTGAGGCAAGACAGTTGCCACAAGTTTGAGGCCAACCTGGGCTACCTAGTGAGCAAGGCCAGGTTGAACTATATATCTATATCTATATCTATATCTATATCTATATCTATATCTATATCTATATCTATATCAGGACCCAGTCTCAAACACAACCACAACAAAAGTCTCCAAACAAAAATATCACAGTGTGACCTCTTCCAAGGGATCTGGAACCATTGATTTGTGACTGTTCCTGGAATCAAAATGACTATGAAAAGTAAGTGTTTTGAACCGAGTATGTGCAGATAGCTATAACAGTACAACTCAGGACGAGAAAGAGACATCCAGAACTGCTTCTGTGTGGCCAGAACAGTGGGAACAGTTTGAAATGAGGGGGAGGATTTTGAAGAGGATTAAGGACAATGTGTCTTTTTTTTTTTAATTTAAAGAGAAAAAACAAAAAAAGGGTAGAAATAATACAGAATTACAGAAAAATAAACAGTAAGAAATCACCAGTTGATGTTACATATTGTCATCTTAGAAATAGTTATTCAGGTTACAAAAAGTATGTAAAGTGGCATTCAAATAGTGACACTGCCAACAGTTCTGCTCAATGATCCAAGAAAAACTTAGTAATATGGTTATCATCCTACACACTTGTTTTTATCTTAAAGAGGGTAAGGTTAAACATATCAGAACAGAACAAAACAGTTCAAAAAGAAACAGTTTAAAGAAGTACAGATTTCAAAGCAAGTCCACTGGAGATCTTCACTGTCTATCTTATTGTCTCTAGTTTTCTCCCACATAGTTGTCCCCATATTCACACACATTGAATACATACTGCTTGTTATAGAACCAATCAAATCATTACAGGATGATGAAGGCTTTTTAGGCCTTCAAGATCTGACACTGGGGAAGACAATAATGACTACTATAGTGTCCCTCATTCTCATTGTAGTAGCTGTCCTCATCTTTACCTATGCTGAAATTGAACTTAAGAGACTTAGACTAACATCACTCTGAACAGTGAATAATAGTATTGCTAGATTTTATATCATAATGCTACAGAATTAGCATTGGGTTTCTTAGTGTCTTCTATTTCAGAGTATCTATTCATTACATCTTGTATTATATAATCTGTTCCCGTAAGTAGTTTAAAAAATTCTTCCCATGTGTGAATTTCTACA